TTGAAAAAAACATAGTTTATTCTCCTCAATAATGTCAATTCTCTGACTCCTTTTCTGGACTCAGCGAAAAACAAAAAGCACAAACCAGATCACCTACTCATTTTGATTTTCTCAGCAATAGATAAAAATATTTCTCAATTTGTTTTCCTCAAAGAAAAGTTTACCTAAATTCTCAACAAAGAGATACGCTGGTTTCCATCCTTGGGCCGGTCGCTGTCTTTGCGAAAACAAAAGCCAGATCACCTGCCTATTATGACGGATCGATTTTCATAATCCGGTATGATCCGTCATAATAAGTAGGTGATCATAATCCGGTATGATCCGTCATAATAAGTAGGTGATCATTTCTCAATTCGTTTTCATTTCTCAATTCGTTTTTGCTAATGAAAATATAACTCTTGTTTGCTTCTTCTTTTGCTAATGACGTGTTTTTCTAATTTCCCAAGAAAGAGATAAAGCTATTAACCGATTAAGTTCATCCGCATATCACATTTTCGATAGATAAAAAAAAAATGGGGGAGTTACTGCTGCGAGCAAGTGTTCCTAACAAGTATCATTTAATCAAATCATTTATTAAACTACCAACAGAAATAAAACCTTCGTGAACATAAGAACTATGGTAAAAATTTTCTTTTTCTTGATTGTCTGTCATGTTCAATGTTATTTAAGTCCCTTTTGATACTCCAGCAGTATCATTTACAATGGAATAGGTCCATTCAATTGGGGTGTCTTTAGTTAGAGTTTCTTTCCAACTGTGAAAACCAACTGCTATTAATGTCCTTGGTTTCCTTTTGAAGTGAAGGGATAAAAGTGATGGGATAAATTTATGAATATCAAACAGAAGATTGTAGGGTTTCATTTTTTATGTCACCTTAATTATCAGGTCCACTAAAGTGTATTACTGATAAAGTTGATCAGTTAATTTGAATTTTGACGATAAATTGGAAAAATTCGGTACTTCTATTTTAAAATTTTTGACTCAAAAACACCTTTTCTTATAAAATATTTTATTTTTAGGTGGCTGACATAAATTGCTCGGACTACCTGAAAATTGATGGGTTTCTGTAACCTTTATTAACTAAATTTTGCGATCAGCCATATTATTAAATCAATCTTTTTTCCAAAAATGAGTAATTTCAGTACAGCAAAAATAGTACCTAACCATAAAAAACTAAGGTCATTTTCGGAATCAACACCATCAAATTAGCTAAAAAATGTGTTTTGTTTCTTGTCACAAAAAATTTTGTTGACCAGTGTAATATTACTATTAGAGATTAGGAGAACAGATACTAAACTTTGATCTCCAACCTAATGGTGAGATAGTGAAGAGAAACGTAACTAGATTAACACTGGCTGCTCGGTCAAACAAAGCCGAACTTTCCTCATAAGGAAACAGTTAATCTCATCAGTAATAACATTAAGAAAAAGTAACTCAAGGGAAATAATCCAACGTTTAAAAACTTCAGTCGAAGGGAGGTAACTCCAAATATCGTGATTAAATGAAGCGAGTGACAACTTTCAGTGTGTCTTTTATATAGGTAAAAAAAACCCCGATATCTAAGGTTTAAAATTAATTTAAAATAATGAAAAATTTTCCTGGATATTTTATATTAGTTTTAATCTCAAGCTAATAGATTAAATTTAATATTTGTAATAATAAAAATTAATTACGTAAAGGAATATAGAACAACTGTAAAAAAATATTTCTTCTAAAAAAGAAAAAATTCTAAAATAGTTAAATTTATTTGTAAATGAGTCCTGAAAGTTTCATTAAAATGCGAAAATTATTTGATTATTGCAATAATTTTCAAATCAATGTTATTTTTTGCTGCAAAAAAACAAACCAAAACCAAAAAAAAACCCAAAAAAAACGCTAACATTTCCTATACTAATCTTTGCTACCTCCACTGACGCGAGAAAAACAAGATTTGGTTTATATATATATATATATATATATATATATATATATATATATATATATACATACTTTTAAAATGTCTGTTTTTTAAAACTATAATAAAATCAGAGCTGGCATTATGTAAGGGTTTCAGTATCTTGAAAACTTAAAAACGTGTATGTTTAGAAAAATCGTTTTATTTATCAAAAGAAAAAATGAATTGTGTTGATAAAAAGCTGAAAGAACTCTTAGACAAGATAGTAAAGTAGGGAAAGAAGAAAGGACTAACTATTATATTATCACTATTCTGAACATTTCCGAGTGAATAATAAAAAATTGTCAAAATGTGGATTGGTTAAAACTAAGTTTTCTTAAAAAAAAAAAAAAGATAATATGAGTTTAACCAATCTGAAAGGAAATACTATATTTGATTCAAACCAATCAAAAAGAAATACAATTCTAAATATTGTTCATATTCAAACCAATCAAAAGTAAATATCATTCTAAATATGATTCTTATTTTAACCAATCAAAAAGAAATACAATTCAAAATATGATTGATTTTATAACCAATCAAAAATAAATATCATTCTAAATATGATTCTTATTTTGACCAATCAAAAAAAAAAAGCGATTCTAAATATGATTCATATTCAAACCAATCAAAAGGAAATATACTTTTGAATATGATTCATATTCTATTTCATATTTAAATAAAAAAGAAATATGATACTGAATAAATGTGAATAGTATTAAATTTACTGACCATTAATAAACGAATCGTACCTAAATACAATCAACTCATTTCTGAAGTAAATATTTTATTGTAACGGTCTGTCTAAATAAGAAGTAGTATAACTCTATTACATTCTCAAGAAATGATTTCTAATTTTAGCGAAACGAGTCGCAAACTATTATTAAAAAAGGTACTACTTGATAAAAAAAAAAACAAGAAGTCTTTTGTCACACACTGACAGCAATTTTCGAGATTATAACCCTGAGATATTTTTGGAAGATTATTAGGATAATCGAGGACATATACTGACAGTAAACCGCCTGCATACGAATAGAAAATGAATTCAGTAAATAAACAAAGATAGAAAGGGATGTAAGACAAGGATGTGTCTTCTCACCGGACTTATTCAACCTATACAGTGAGGCGATTCTGAGAGAATTGAGAGTTCTTTCAGGGTTCATTATTGTCGGCCACAATATTAAGAAAGTACGATATGCAAATGGCACAGTGTTGATAGCAGACACTACAAGAACTCCGAAAGAAGGTAGTGAAGGAAAACGAGAAGAAAGGACTAAACATAAATTACAAGAAGACAGAACTCATGGCTGTTAGAAAAAGGAACAGACGAAAATGCAAATTTAAAATTGGAGATACCAAATTCAAACAAGCAAAACAATTTAATCATCTGGAAATATTTTAACAGAGGGTAGAAAGTGCGCCACTGAAATCCGAAGGCGTATTGCGATAGCGTAATATGCCTTCCAAAAGCTAAGCAAAAGATTAAGAAACAGGAACATTTCGTTAGAAACAAAGAAAAGGGTGCTGAACTGTTACGTAATACCAACTCTCCCATATGGCAGTGAATGCTGGACAATCTCCTCACAGATGAGGAATAGGCATAAAGCAACAGAAAGGTAGTTCTACAAAAGGAAGCTGAGAATACCATGGACAATACATGTGAGAAACGACGAAGTATTAGAGAAAATGGAAATAAAAAAAAAACACTTATACTTCCCATCAGAAAGAAACAGTTGTCATTTGTAGCGCACCTAATGAGGAAAGAGGGCTTGGAAAATTCGATATTCACAGGACAGATTGAAAGCTAGAAAAACAGAGGCAACGCATAACCTGCCTAGCGACCTTGAGTAAATGGATGATAGAACTGGATTTAGGATAACGAATAGAAAATTTATTAATAGTTACTAAGCATAAGACAATCGTAGAGAGCCATCATCACCAGCGCCCTGAAGAGATACGCGACAAAGAAGTCGACAAAGGTTTTGAGATGACCTTTATTTTTTTTAGAAAAAATCCTTTTTGTCTCTACTGTTGTAATCTAGGTAAGGGTAATAGAATAATCACACAAAGGTTGGTAATAAACGATGATACTTAAGACACGAACAACATATATCAGATTCGCCAGCGGCGCGTACAAGAAGTAGGTAACTGCTAGAAGTGAGTCAAGTTAATTCCACAATGATTCTCCAACTGCAAACCAACATACAGTATTTACTACTGTATTTATGGGAATGCGAATTATCGTTCGTAGGTACCTACCCAGAAAATTAATGCTATACTAGTTTAAGTCAGTTTTATTCATTTTAAATCTGTATTTGTAATTTTTTAACACGTCAGGATTTTGTGATATGCCAATACACATGATTGGAGAGACCTTGTCTTATATTAATTACAGTAGGCAACGAAAATACCTTTTCTCTGATATGCAGACAATATACACAGCACTAAATCTCATTGGCTGATTTTAAATCTGATTGTTTTCAAAATTCGAGGATAAATTATTTCATATGCGAAAATCATTTCTGACGCGAACTTCGATGATAAACCAACATTTCTAACACATTTAGAAAAGTGTCTTCGGTCAAATTTGTCAAATATGCATTTTATTTATGTTATGGGACCTTACCCATAATAACATAATGGACTATTCCATACGTAACAAAATACTGCGCCTCAAGAGGAAGCAGAGAGTTCAGTCTGAAGTCTGGAGTGAAGTCCGTCAGTCAGTCAGTCGAGTCAGAGGCAGTCCGATACAGAGTCGCGTTCAGACAATTACTACTAAACCTGATTGTTCGTACTAACACTTTTCTACTTCTCTGTATATATTCCTGTTTGTAATATATCTGTGTTATTCCATATCTGTGTTCGAGTTCTTCTTTATTGGTTCTACCTTGGACTATCACCGTGGTACAAGGAACCGGACCATAACAATTTATTTTTTACTTTCTAAAAGGACTTATTCCCACTGATTGTTCTCTGATTCTGCTGGTGAAGGCTTCATTATTTATTGCAAATCATTTTGATATATTTTAATGCAAGAAAAAAGATCGTACATAATCGAAACGTAACTCAAGTGATTGGAGGAAGGACTGACATGGCAGGTATAAAATATTTCGGCCACAGTCTAAGAGTAACTAAAACTTTATTCTTGATATTTGGGTCCCATTCAGCGTTAGAACAAGGAAATGGCTCTAAGGTAATCTTTGGGGTGTAATAATGGAATCTTGAGCTGATTTCCTTCTTGAATAGTTGATGTGGCAGATAACCATTGCAAGTGACAGGCGGCTTTCGATAATCTGCAAATAAATAATTAAATGACTAAGAATAAAACTTTAACTGACGTCAATGTTGGTATATTTGATGACTAACTGTTCACTCCGACATCCACTATAAAATATATACAGGGTGGGTTGAAAGTAACCAGGTATTAGAAATTACTCATAGAAGTTTTAGTATCACTAAAGTCATGACGAAAACATTTTTTTAAACAGACAACAATAATAGGGATTTCTTATTTATGTACAGGAGCTAAAATCGGAAGGCTGTGACATCAGAATGGGATATGGAGAGTTAATGCTAAGTTGGCATGAAGATTGGCCTGAATTGTTTGAAAACATCCTCTGGAATGACGAGGCTATATTCCATGTTGGTGGTTTTCACCAGTCGTCACAACTGCCATTACTGGGCGTCGTGTGGTAACGATCTGAATATGACGGTTGATAGGATGTAAGTTCGACTAAAAGTGACAGTATAGAGCGGAATGACGGTATCAAGAGTTGTCTGCCCATATCTTCTGCGTGATACCATGAATACGGACCGAGCATCTTCAGATGATCGAGAATTACGTGTGGCCCACGGTGCCTGGCTGGGATAACATTGGTCACCTGTTATTCATGCAGGATGGTGCATCACCCCATTTTGCTCTTACTGTACATGCAAGGTTAGACCAGCATTTTCCAGGATGTTGGACGAGACGACGACGCGGACTTCATGAATGGCTTCCAAGAAGTCCAGATCTTACTCCATGTGGTTTTTACCTGTGGGATTACACAAAAGAGGAGGTGTACAAGACAAAACCTCACACACTGGAGGACTTTGAGACACAGATTCAGGAGGTTCTTAATGATATCCCAGACGACGTCCTTCAGAAGGTTCTTCGTACCATCCCTGGTTGTTTGAGGAAACTGGTTGACGCCACTGGTCACTGGGGCTTACGTTGAAATAGGAAGATTTACTTTTTCATATTATGTATATATATATATATATATATATATATATATATATATAATAAAAAAAAAAAAAAAGCTTAAACACTAATATTCCATGGTCATAATTTATTCCATTGGAATCGTAAATACGATCCAATTCATCAGACCTACAAATTCAAAAAGAAAACAGAAAAAAAAACAACCCCGGAAATAAAAACAGAATTTAGAGAAAGTGTAAGTATGAGGAGGAGGGAGATTAAACCTTAACAGAAAGAATTTTAGGAGAGATGTGTGAAGGGGTTTAATTAAGAGAAAAAAAATGAATGTTGACGGATGTCTAATGCATAAAGATACATTTCGTGGTGACATACACACACCATAGACAATTTAATGTTAGAATAAGAGGGAGGGAAAGACGGGGTGGGGGAGAGAGATGGGACGAAGGAAAGTAAAATTGCGTTTACTTAAAGGGCCGCTTTGTAATTGAGAAAATTTGACAAATTTAATATCGACTACAGGTTACAAATCAAATATAAATATATAAAGATAAATATAACGATTATCTAATCCAGCAAGGACCTATATTTCTATGTTCAAAAACACATGCGAATACACACAATAACATATACATGTATATACATACACATAGGCGTGTACCCACATACACACATACATATACCCATGTACACACATATAAAAATATATTCACATATCCACACATACACATATTCATCTATATCAATATACACACCCTTTTTCCATACATATACACGCATACACATGCACACATGCGCACACCCATACATATATATACATACACACATATATATACATACACACACACACATACATAAGCATGTATATGCGTGTATGCACACATACACATCCATCCATCCATCCATACATACATATATACACATATACATATACATATATACATATATACACACACCCTTACATTACACACATACACACACATATATACACATATACACACACACCTACATACATACACACACACACACACACACATATATATATATATATATATATATATAAAAACCAAAAATATAAAAATATACAAAAAATACATACACACACATACATGCATATATACACACATACATCCATCCGCATTCAGTCCTTCATATATATATACACATTTACCCACATATATACATACGGACATACGCATACATGCACATAAACATATATACCTAAAACCTTACATTTCTATATAATTATTTAAACATATTTTCCACTAATATTATCTCTCTCTCTCTCTCTATATATATATATATATATATATATATATATATATAGAGAGAGAGAGAGAGAGAGAGAAAGAGAGTGGTTAGAACGTTCGCATTCTGGCCGTGATCCGGGTTCGAATCTCAGCAAGGTCGATTTGTCAAGAAGAAGGGGTCGATCCCAGCGTGCAGCACCTTTGGAAAGTGCCTGAAAACCATACCACGGGTTGACCAAGCCAAGCGTGACACCATGAATACGGACCAAACATCTTCAGTCATCATGGCCGAGGTCTTGAGCATGTTGGCCTTGTTCAGATTGTTCATCACTGTAACTAAGGTCTGCTCATCATAGTTGCAGTATGAACCACACCTCTGTGGGTGTTGAATAAACACAAATGCGCCTATTAGACGGGTATCCTCGAATGGCCGGCTATACATACATATATAGGCTCTGGACAGAGGTAGTACCTTTGATGTCTGGCACGATGCACTTTCGGGTGTACGGGCATCACTGGTCCTCAACCGTCTCCTAAATCGCCAAGTTGCCAAGCTGCTTTTCAGCTGGCGGGTTAAACTCACGTTAGGGGGTGGAGTTAACCCGTCACTGGGTGAAGGACCTCCTCGTCACAGGTGACCGGCTAGGGCGGAAGGGTTGCTCAGATGGAATACAACGGCCACGTGTTCGCGACCAAGGCAAGCCACATATTTGGAGAACATCGGCTGTGGTATAACCTGGAAAAGATGGTGCCCGCCAGGTTAAAACGCCCAAGATATGCCACATGATGAGTAAACCAAGACACCATTCGCGGAGACCCAAGCTCTGATACACAACCTCTACGCTGCTACGATGGTAGATTTGACACCTACCATCGTAGCAGTCGGTGGGTAAATAAAATCTATACTATTCTCATGTAAATAACTAGCAAATACTGTCTAACATATCTGGATGCAGAATTTTCAAATACCCAATATTATAATATTCTACGAAGTCCTTACCTGTATAAAACGTAGTTTCTCTGTGGGGTCTGCATTTACTGCAGTGTGTTTCACCTAAGCGAGTAAGATGTTTGTGCCTGGAGATACAAAGGTTGCAATAATAAAATTTAGACATAAAAACTTGAGAACAAAAAATACTCAATTTAATTATTAAGATGATTTTCTGTAAATATACATGCAACAAAATCTTTTTTTTAAATAATTTTCACCCAATATAAGGCCCAAGAGCCTTTCAAGCTAGAGGGATGCAGAAGAAGGTTTTGAATGAGAGGTAGGGGTAGGCGGTAAGAAGTACAGTTTATGAGGATATATGGGAAAGATAATAGCTAATCCTAGACTTGAACTGGTTAAGATTGTAGTATTTCGGAAAGCATTCTCTTGGGACTATGTTCCACAAAGAAGCATTTCTTGGGAAGAAACTGTCCGAGTGGTACTTCTTCCTTACTAATGGAATACAAATGCAATACTAATTATTTTTCCGGTGTACGTGTCTTAGCTGTAAAGATCTGAACTGGTGGAATGTAGTTCGTCTGAAGACGTCCCATGGAAATAGTGACAGAACAGCAAGAGGCTTGCGGTGTTTCGTCTGTGAGAAACGGGTTGTAGGGTGGAAAATGATTCATTACCCACAAGGACGCGGAGACGCTTTTGGGCTGTATATATGTTAAGCGTCTGCTTCAGTGAAAGGGAAAATCTTTTCATTTGTAGTAGGCACAGTGGAGTAATAGCGGCTCGGATTGAAGAATCGGAGAGCCGAGTTCGAATTCCAGTCCAGTTCATTACATTCACTTACTTGGGAAAGGTGTCATAGACGAAGAAAATGAGTAACTACCGACACCAAGGTTCGAGCGTGACACTCTGGACTTATGAATATATGTTTTCCACCAGGTGTATAAATAGCGGTGTCAGGCTACTGACTGCGGTGATTATTGAGTGTAACTATCCAGTCGAATTAGTGTGAATTATTGTGTGACGATTATTTGGGTTTTGATTTAGGATTTACCGTACATTAAGCCGAGCCGCGCTGCTAACAAGGTATTCAAAGAAATGATTAATTATCTTTGGTCTTTTACTTCTTTTTTCTTGTTAAGTATTTATTTGCGGCTGTAATTAAATACTGTTTTATCTTAACATTGAAGTCTTGAGTTATATTTAATTATTAACGGCCACTGTACGTTATAAAAGCTATGAATCAATCTCCTCTCCCTGCCATTTGTGGATAAAATAGACTGAAACTCCTACTATTTGCACATTCAAATGAATACGTCCTCTGCTATGCTTTTTCAGTTTTTGTTCAGACGCAACGTTAAAAGGATTCCAATGTTTATAGAGGACGAAAGGAACTAACTTCTTTAAATATTGACCCGCATTCATACTTATGATTGTTATTGTAATATTTTGATAAGCTCAAATATTTAACGAGGTGATAGCGAACTTTCCGAGGTTGTTTTGTCGTTGTCGAGCACGCAAAGAGCTGATTCGATTATTAACTTAAGAATTCAGATTCATCATAAAATTCAAATGGGAAAACAGTAAAATTTTCTTGGGTACTTCTAGTTATTATTTGATTGAGAGGGCGACAGGCCAACAAATAATGTAAAGAAAGAAAGATAATATGGAAGGGGCGGTAACATTCTAATGGGTTTAACGTCTGCTTCAGTGAAATGGAAAAAAAAACTTGTCAATTTGAAATCTTTTCATTTGTACCCTTTCACTTCTTTAAATAACGACTAGTATTCATATTTATGATTGTTATTTTAATATCTTGTTAAAGTCTTTAAGATCAAATTTTTAACAAGACAATATGGAAATTTCCATGGGTATTTTATAATCATTTTTAATCGTAAGGCGCTTATTCCATCACTAATTTAAGAATTAAGATTCATCTGGAAATTCAAAACTGAAATTTTCACGAGTATTTCTAGTTATTTGCTAAATATGTCTGTTTAAAATTTCAAAACAATTTCGACCGTCAAGATTTTGTTTTCAACTATTCCGTAAATATGACCCGACATCATTCTTTTTTTTATCTAACACGGATTTTACATAAAACACACATATCACTGCCTTTAGTAATTATGTTCCCCACGAACATGTATATGCACAAAAGCTGAGTATCATCTACCATGTATTCAGTTGTGAAAGCAGAATAAAATATACTATATTTTTATTACTTTCAGGCTCCTCGCAAAATTAAATTTCGACATTAAATGACCCATGAAACAAAGAAATCAAACAAATCAATCAAACCAGCATTCTGATTATGATACTTATTGGAATATTTTGTTAAAATTGTTACGCTCCAATATTTAATCAGGCGATAGGATATTTTATTGCCGTAGAACTCGTAAGGAGCTGATTCGATTATTAACTTAAGAATTCAGATTCATCAGAAAATTAAAATAGGAAAACCGTGAAATTTTTTCGGGTATTTTTTAGTTATTATTTGATTGAGAGGGCGGCAAGCCAAAAAATAATGTAAAATGTAATAAAAGAAAGATAAGATGGAAGATGCAGTAACATTCTAACGGATTTAACGACTGCTTCAGTGAAATGGAAAAAAACTTGTCAATTTTAAATCTTTTCATTTGTACCCTTTTACTTTTTAAATAACGACCTGCATTCATATTTATGATTGTTATTGCAATATTTTATCAAGAAAGAAAGAAAGATAAATCAAAAACGTTGTTTGGCTTCAGGAGGAGAAAGAAAGATAAGATGGAAGAGGTGGTAACATTCTGTGTTTAACGTCTGATTCAGTGAAATGGAAAAAAATCTTGACAATTTTAAATTTTCATTTATACCCTCTTAATTTTTAAATAACGACCTGCATTCATGTTTATGATTGTTATAGCAATTAGGCTCAATGTTTAACGAGACGATAGGGAAATTTCCACGGGTATTTTCGAGTAGTAGAACAAGCAAAGAGTTTATTCAATCAATAACTTAAGAATTCAGATTCATCAGAAATAGGAAAACTGTGAAATTTTCTCGGTTATTTCTAGTTTTTAATAATTGCCAATAATTCATCTAAGAAATTCAGACAATTTTAGGCTAGCTTCTATTTGCTTGGAAAAACAACCAAGAGAGATAATAATTGATAATGCTCTAAGAAATTCAAATATTATTAAATCCGATATCAGCGTGCATCGTTATTGTTTTAGCATTTCATTGCATTTGTCTTTAAGCCAATATGTATTTTTCAACAGACGTTAATTTATGTTTTAATCATTACATCACAAGCAAGGTGATCTTGCCACTAAGACGCCAGTGGTTATTGAGAGTGAAAGAGAATGAGGAGACTTTAGTGGGAGGAAAAGGACAATAAAAGAACAGGTACAGTAAGACATAAAATGTCGATTGACGCTGCATTTACATTTTTGAAGATCGTAAGTGGCGGAGTAGCAAGAGACTGGAAGAGAGTTCCATAGGCAAGAAGTGCGAGAAAAAAAAAACTATTAGAATTAAAGTTTTGGTTACAGCTGGCTATTTCAATAGTAAAACGATGAGATCTAGTTGCCAATGTAGTAATACGCTTAAATTCATGTGATTAGAGCATTCTCTTTCTGACCATGAGACCCGAGTTCGAATCTCACCATGGTCGATTTGTCAGGAAGGAGACTTTCTGATGTTATCAGTCTGGAGTAGGGCAATCCCAGCGTGTGGCACCGTTGGAAAGTGTCTGAAAACGATACCACGGGTTGAGCCAAAACTTGTGAGGGAAATTGGGTAGACGGAACCCTTAAGGCTGTCGATGGCTGTGCTAGAAGGAAGTTACAACTCATCGTGGCTGAGGATTTGAGAGTGCCGGCCTTGTTCAGATTGTTGATCATGCTAGGTAAACCATTCAGTTTTACCACTCGACTAGTTTCGGCCAACATGGCCATCATCAGGAGAAAAATAATTTTCTGCTTGCTGGTAGCAGTGAACTACAGAAATATTATATATATATATATATATATATATATATATATATATATATATATATATACAGGGTGTCCATAAAGTTCGCGTGTGCACTTAAAAAAATTTATAACTTTATTTGTATTTACGATAGAAATAATCTGTAAAAAATGTTATAAAGTTTAATGTACCTAGTTTTAAGTATCGCTAAAATAACTAATGTGATTTCAGGCATTACTGTAAATCAGTTGGCAAATGTTTTCCGTGAACTGCAAAATCGTATTACCCTTTGTATTGCTAATGATGGAGGACATGTGGAAACTTAAATAAACTTTCAATAAAACCTTAATAAATATAGATTTACTTCTTTCTAATCCTTTTTACAGATTATTTCTATCGCAAATACAAATAAGGTTATAAATTTTTTAAAGTAGACACGAACTTTATGGACACCCAGTATATATATATATATATATATATATATATAGATAGATAGATAGATAGATAGATAGATAGATAGATAGATAGATAGATAGATAATATTAGTGGTAAATATACACATACATATGCAAAATATATAAATATATATACATAAATGCATACACATACATATATATTTTTTGAATAAAAAATTCCAAGAGGATAGAATCCAGGTAGAACTCAATGTCCAGAACAGAGTAAGGATATAATAAAAAGGCTTAAACACTAATATTCCATGGTCATAATTTATTCCATTGGAATCGTAAATACGATCCAATTCATCAGACCTACAAATTCAAAAAGAAAACAGAAAAAACTACTCCGGAAATAAAAATAGAATTTAGACAGAGTGTAAGTATGAGAGTGTGGGACGAATGTTAGAGCTAAAGAGAGGGGTAACAGACGAGAGAAGGTGGGAGATTAAAACTTAAAAAGAGGAGTTTTAGAGAGGTGAGTTGAAGATAGTTTAAGTGAGAGAAATATGAATGTTGTCGGATGTCTAATACATTAAAGATCTAACCGGAAAGGATACATTTTGTGGTGACATACACACACAATATAGACGATCTAATCTTAATGATCAGAAGAAGAGGGAGGGAGAGGAAAAGAAAAGAAAAAAGGGTGGGGGAGAGAGATGGGGTGGGGGAAACTAAAACTGAAGGGCATTTACTGAAAGGGCCGCTGTGTAATTAAGAACATCTGACAAAATTAATATCGACTACAGGTTACAAATCAAATATAAACATATAAAAAAAATATAACGATTATCTAATCTAGCAAGGACCTATATTTTTATGTTCAAAAACACATGCGTATACACACATACACAATAACATATACACGTACATACATACATATAGGCGTGTACCCACATACATATAAATTGACCCAAGCCTTGTGAGTGAAATTGGGTAGACGGAACACTTGGGAGCCTTCGATAGCTGTGCTAGCACAAAGAGATATATAGCAGGAGCACCAGACAAGATAGGGCAACAATATCCAATTCACGAACAAATGGTAGATTTATAAATGTGTAAGATAGATTCTGACATGAAGAATTGTCTGGCACGACACAGTGAACCAAATTTTCTAGTAGCAGATATAGCAACTAATTTAATATAATCACAGCATTTCATTTTAGTGGAAAGCGTGAGACCAATAAAGCGCAATGAGTTGGCTTCCTGGGAGCTAGCATCAACCATGCTGATGGACGACAGAAATGGTTGTCTCTGATGATTAAGAGATAGTAGTTTCGTTTTAGAGAAGCTAAAATTTACAAGCCATTTCTTGCCCCAGTTAACAACTGATCGGAGATAATTTTTGAGAGAAGCTGCTAGTTTGACTTTGTCGAACATATTAGCCTTACTATTAAGACAGGATTAAATAGTTTAAAATAATCTAGGTAATACCGACTACTATTTTAAAGAGTCAATTTGTGTTCGATGAAATTAAAGCTTATAAAACAGAAAAATGCCCGACTACAACGATTTAGTTTTATTGTTATTCCCGCATGAACTTACTTTATTACAGATGGTAACATAAGAACTGTGTTCTTCGAGTTTATTTTGTCGATGCCTTCTTGAAGAGGTTTCACAGGGGTTTTCGGCTTCTGCATCATTGTCTCTTCCAATTTAATTTCACAGAAGTAATTAATGACCTCAATGTTAGTGACATTTTCAACAGAGGAAGATCTCCTCTCCAAATCTAAATCAACTGTAACTGCACAAAAGAAAAAAATATTTAAATTTAATGTGTTTAACATTCTCTCTCTCTCTCACTCTCTCTCTCTCTCTCTATATATATATATATATATATATATATATACCGTATATTTCCGCGTATAAGACGACCTTTAAATGAAAAAAATCAGCTTTAAATATTGTGGCCGTCTTATAATTCTAAAAACGAAACCTTAAATTCTGAGTTGTCAGTAGGCTAATCTCATAATAATCGATAACAATAACGTACATGTAAAGATTCACATTATCAAATAAACTGATAATAAACGTAATAAAACCATTTCTATCTTATATATTACTCGTATAACTTCATAATAAATTGCCTATTCGAAGAATAATTCCATATCAATAAAATTAACCTGTATCCATGCAAGTTCAGCTGAGAAAATTTAAACATCGAGTTATGATTGCGTTCATAGCAATGGAATGTATGTACTATTATCGCAAATTATCATACTGTTATTATTATTTTGAGATTGTCGATGAAGTATAAGTAAATGGCCATTAGTACACCATGTTGTTTGTAACTGTTTAGATAGAAGAAGAAGAAGAAGAAGAAGAAAAAGAAGAAGAAGAATTAATATTCACAAGTGATCACGTGATGAAGCGTAAACCAAACAATGGATTCCCTTTTAGGGGACGTGTGTAGGAAAAAGATGATATATAATTGGTTTCGTGATTTTGTGATACAGTAAATAACAACATTTCTAATAGCATCATCTTGATATAATCACATAAGCAGTCGTCTTATACTACAGATATAGGATAAAATCATTAAAATTTGCTATAATTTTGAACTCATCTTATCTAAAGGTGGCCTTATACGCGGAAATATACGGTATATGTATGACAAAGTGGAAAAAAGTTTTCTTGTGACGCGTTTTGACCTTTAGGACTTCATCGTACTAAATTTGTTATGTTGGTGCGACTACACATGCGCACGAACGAGGTGATGCTGGGAATTTTAAGTTACGGTGAGCAACCAACGCATTTGATGCATTGTTTTTTAAATGTCTCTTTTGCGTTCATATAATCTTATTCGTTGAGATTTCTGCTATAACGAGACCGACCACAAATTTAACATAAAAAATACTACTCATATCAAAGGAGAAAACAATTCACTAAGACAAAAATGTGTAGTAAATTTGGTCCCTGGCTCTTACAACATTTCCCAAATCCTGACAGAACTTCTATTATCACCGTGTAGGAAATCTGTTAACAAAAGTGATGGAAAAAACAAATCTAAATGAAATCGGCTAGATTGAAAAGAAATAAATTAAATTTAAAATTCCCGGCATACCTCGTTCGTGTACATGTGTAGTCACACCGACATAACAAATTTATTCTGATGAAGTCCTAAAGGATGAAACGCGTCACAAGAATATTTTTTCCACTTTCTCACACATTTTTTCCCAATATTGTTCTTGATATATAAAAATATATATCGCTATATATATATATATATAAATATATATATATATGTGTGTGTGTGTGTGTGTGTGTGTATGTGTGTGAGTGTGTGTCTGCAAATTACAGAATATAAATATGATCAAAACCGACATATTAAAATTATATATAAGAAAAAAATTAAAATTGTATATAATAAAAACATATTAAAATTATATATAAGAAAAACATATTAAAATTATATATAAGAAAAAAACAACTGAAGAAGAGAAAGTTTGATAAAATAAATCACCGTAAAGTGGCGAATCGAAACAATATATATAAAAAAACAAAAACAATAAAAAATAACAAAACAGAGGCTAACCGGTTTTCGATCCTCGCTCTCCAGAGACAATCGAGAACGAACCTGTAAATTGTCTGAACAACGTTTAAAAAGAAAAAAACAACAACAATAAAACTGTAAAGAGAAGGAATGGCTGTTGGGTCTTAATATAACCGTTGTGTGATTATATATATTTTTCTACTCAGTTGATTGCCTGGCAGCTCTTAATTTATTGTTGTTTGCTTTTCAAACGTTGTGCACACAATTTAGCGTTTTTCCTCGATTGGTTCTAAAGAGCGAGGATCGAAAACCGGTTAGTCTCGTTTTCGTTACTTTCATTTTTTTTATTTTGTTTATATTATTTCGTTTCGCCTCTTTACGATGATTTATTTTATTATTCCTGCTCTTAATTATAAAAAATGGCATTTTATGCAATATATACTTAGAGGCATGCGCATTAGCTGGTGACTTTTGCATAACTCACACTCAATATCTTTCACACACATCTCTCTCTCTCTCCTATATATAGTGCTAATTTGAAAAACTGTTTTTGAAGCCAAATTTGCTGTTTTTTCAGTGGTTTGCTGATAAGGAAGTATTTAAGCCAAGCAGGCTTTGTAGAGAGTGCATACAGCGCAAATAGAATTAATACGAAAAGTGAAAAAAATCACACACACACACACACATATATATATATATATGAAAAGGTGTACATTGAGGTCAACATCCAGCGACAACCGTCGACCGTCTGTTTCATGCTTAAACACAATCGCCAGGTCATGATGATTCGTTTAAGTATAATTCATTCTTAATATCAGGGAGATGGCGTGTGTAAATATAAGTGTAGACACTGAGATCAACACCGAGTGGCGATGGTCTGCTTCATGCGTGAACGCAATCTTCATGCCATGTGTTTTATATGGTAGCTCGACAATTGATATATGCTAGTCAATTATTATGATAACATAATAAACAGGAAAACCTGACCTTGCTACCACTAATGCTCCATTGATCATCATATATAAATAGTCCAGATACCATCCAAAACACATAGTCAACAGATTGCGTTCAAGCATGAAACATACTATATATATATATATATATATATATATATGCGGTGGATAAATTGTGGTCTAAATTACGCAAAAGTGAAAATAGCGCTGACATCTCATTTTAATAGATATATTTACCAAAATTGCACAAAAATAACTTGAAATACTAAAGAGTAAATGTATTCAACAAAATCGCCATTGGCTTCATTCACGGTCTCCAGACGACTTCGGAATCTCCTTCAACCCTTCTGGATGGTCTCTTTGTTTAAGTTGATGAATGCTGGCAAAATCTTTGCCTTCAGTTCATCTTTGGTGTTACAAGGGATTTTGTTGGTCTCTCGCTCAACTGCTCCCCACACATAATCAAGGGGCTGCAATCTGAGGGAGTTAGGTGGCCAGGTGTAAGGGGGTGATGGGGTCGCAGAAATAGTCTGATAGCCATGCCTGGATTCTCCTAGTTGTGTGCCATGGTGCAGAGTTCTGTTGCCGGACACAGGGTCTTCCAGCTGCCACCCTCTTGACCGAGGACAGCACTAACTTGCTGTAGGCCTCCGTGTTGAGTCTGAGGCCATCGCCAACACATTCGGGAGTTCTTTCAGAGTGAGTTTTCGTACCTGCGTAATCACCATTGAACTCTTCCAACTCTTTTCGAATCCTCTGCACTGTCCTAAGATTGACACCGAAACACCCTGAACTGTTCGTACTGGAGCTTCCGAAGCAGTACAGCAAGCCGTTTCCAAATTTTTGAATTGTGCCATGGTTCTCTTTTTTCTCACAGATGGTACCCAACTGACTCTACTAAACTGTGCTGTCGACAAAATGAAAAACAAACAACGCGCATGCACGAAATTAAAAATCTAAAATCTAATTTACCCATCGCACCCTGTATATATGGTACGCTCTGACCACACACACACACACACACACATATATATATATATATATATATATATATATATAAAGAATGATTCAGACTGTTAAGTGCCATACGAGTCATGATTGACTAGCCAAATGATTTTCTCGCAATAGGTAGCTATTTATTTCTGCAGTAGACTGGTTGCCAACCAAGGATATACAACCCAGTCTAGCCTGCTATTTATAGCTTTTCCAGTATTTGCGCGTAAGTGAATGTATAGGACCTGACTGGAATTCGGCTCTCCAAGTTCTCATCCAAAGCCGTAACCCATTACACTGCAACGCACATCCTTAAACAGACAAAATAATCTTACCTGATTGGCATTCCATGAAAATATTTTCCTGTTCGAATTTTAAAAAAAAAAGTGTTACTCTTAATAATATAAATGAAAATGAGGAGGAAATAACAAAATAGTAGGTAATTATGGCAACAGGCAATTCATAAGGTTTTTGGCCAAACAATTTTTCAACAGCCGTAGTTTCAAAAATTTCGTACAGGGTTTGAGAATATTCAAAATGACTCCCGAAGGAGACACTCGAACATCATCAATGACAATCAAGCTGAAAAAATGATAAAAGATAGTACTTAGAACTTCAATTCTAACTTCATCGGTAAATCTTGGAGTCCCTTTTACAATAGTTTCTCTTTATTCGAATACAGTGGGAAAAATGGAATATATATATATATAAGTGAACATTGAAGTCAACACAGGCGACAGGCTGTTTCATGCTCGACACAATCGCCAGGCCGCCTGACGATTGCGTCCAGCATGAAACAGCCTGTCGCCTTTGAGTGTTGACTTCAATATTCACTTTTATATTTATATTTACATACGCTCTATATTGAGCACTTTATCCCATAAATATAGCACACCTTAAAACTATATTTCTTCATATATATATATATATATATATATATATATATATAATGAAATGCATCAAGTTCGATAATTATTTAATATATTTTCTGTTTATACGTTATTTTATAGATACAATTTATTTAAGTAAAAGATGTTAAAAATCGAAATTTTAGTTCTGTAGGCCGATAAAACTAAAATTTCGATTTTTAACATCTTTTCTCGTCATGCTTGGTCAAAAGGCTGAAAAATATAGATTAAATATTATTAGTCTTATTATCAATATTACTGGATTTGTAGATTTTTTTTATCTCTTGAATTTCTTTCATCGGCTTACTATATCTACATAAGAAGCATAAGTGGGGAATCACATTTCGGAAGGACACACTCGTGTCTGAAAATTCCGATGTATTAATTTCTTATCATGCTTCTATTTGCTCAAAAGCTCTACTAATATACAATAAATATTTAGTCTTATTACGGAGGTGACTTCTCGCTCCATTTATACAGTGAGGCTATCCTATGGGAACTGCAAACCTTGCCATAATTTATCGTTGAGGGGGAATCGTAACAACATAAGATACAAAGATGACAATGTGCTGATAGCAGACACGGAAAAAAAAAACCTACAGTACCTCTAAGACAATATAGTAAAGGAAAACAAGAAGAAAGGACTAACCATCAATTGTTAGAATATAGAATATATGCTGCCAGTAAGAGAAAAAAAGCCTAAAATATGCAAAATGAAAAAAGTGCAGGATTTTAAATATCTGGGAAGTGTTTTAACAGATGATGGAAAAGGTGAGACTGAAGCCAGAAAGCGCATTGTAATAGCGAATAATGCCATCTAAAAGTTAAGTAAAGTAGTAAGAATCAGGAAAAATTGGTTGGAAATAAAGAAAGGAATATTAAATTGTTATTTAATATCAATTTGGAAAATACTCAAAAAACTTGTCGTACTTGACAGCATGCTAAATGTTATTATCTCGTTTCACGATGGAATGAAATCATCTGTTCTCTACATTAGAGATTTCAGAAGCCTTTGATTTAACAAATAGCACAAAACAAGGTTGTGTCATGGCTCCTGTACTTTTCGTTCTCTTCTATTCGGTCATGCTACACCATGCTTTTAGTAATCTTAACATGAGTGGGAAGTAGAGGCCTCTTTAACCATCAACGTTTTAAAGCAAAATCGCTGATCCGAGCACACATTATTCGTGATCTTTTATTTGCTGTTGACGTTGCGATCGTGGCCACCTCAATCGAAGAATCTCAAGCACTCGTCAATCGTTTTTCCACCGCTTGCAACGCATTCGGATTAACTATAAGCATAAAGAAAACTGTTGTTCATCAAACAAGGCCTACACGACAGTGAATGCTGGACAATTTATTCATAGATGAAGGCAAAACTTGAGGTTGAAGGTTTAAAAAATCACTTATACTTCGAATCAGGACGAAACAATTGAAATTACATAATGAAGAAAGAAGCCTTGGAAAGTTTGACACTGACATATTGAAAACAAGATAAACAGGGAGAATCAGTGAGTAATTTACGAGTTTGTGCAAATGGGTGGAAGAACAAGTGGTTAGAAGATAAAAGACTAATATTGCTAAGAGTTACAAAGGATAGACTGTTGTGGATCGCCCAAGTTCTAAAAGAACACGACAGGCTGATGAAGAAAAGAGACTGGTTATAACTGCAGTAATAACCAAATTGATTTGCAATACATACCTGACGCATTTTGCCAGCTGAAGTTAATTGTTCCCTTGACACGTGACCTTGAATATTCTTTCCAGTCTTGAGCCAACCAATAGAAATTTTGAGATGGTCGACGAAACTGGATTTCCATCTGTGAAGAAGAAATTGTAATTATTTCTGTGGGACGTTTTTCAGATGTATTCTGTTTATTTATATTGCCTCAAAGTCCTGCAGAGGACGAAGACACACACACAAACTCTCTCTTTCTCTCTCACTCACTGACTCACACGCGCACACACACACACACACACACACACACACACACACACACACACACACACACACACACACACACACATACAGAAACAGACGAACACATATACACAAAGACACACACACAAGCATAAACGCACAAACACACACATCCGCAAACACACACAGACATAGACAAAAGCACAAAAACACATACAAACGTACAAACACATGCACGCAAACGTACATATACACATACATGAAAATGCGCAAACATGCACACAAACACAAACACACAGACAAAATACCATCAAGCACATACACACAAACACATGCACTCACAAACACGCGCATACACACATAAAAGACAAGCATACACACAAAATTAATATACACACCCACAAATATGTAAAAGAGAGTGCCCGCGCACTTACACACACACACACACTTTTTTTTAATGGATTTTTTATCTGAAACTATTTTTTATTACTATAAATGATATTTTAGTGGGTAAAAAAGTAAACGAGGTAGCAAATCTAATACGTGTACTCATTTAAAATAACGTTCTATACGTTTGAAGAAAGAGCAGTGGTCCGATTTCTCTGGTCATAAGTTGTGTCAGGGATTGAAATTTATCGGAGGCATTTAACACAAAACGGCGACAGTGCACTACCGCGTAGAAGTGTGTATAAGTGGATCGAGAAGTTTAAAATATGGCCGGCGATAGCGTGACGCATGAAGAAGGAGCAGAACGCCTGTCGACCTCTAGCGGTGACGAGAAGATTCAGCAAGCGCGAGATATAGTAATGGCAAACCGACGAGTTATTATCGATGAGGTAGCATGTTCTCTGCAGATTCAGATCACTGTTCTTTGTTCCTCCTTGGTGTACACTGTTAATTAAGCGGCCATGTTTACATTGTAACAGCAGCATGAAAACTGGCGTGATCACAATAGAATCAACTAAAAGCACGCATGAACAGAAGGTAGTGTGACTAACCTAAGGATATGTTATAGCGAAAGTGCGGGTAATTTTTTTCTTACTCTCATAGATGTATCAAGAAGTGTCTCAAGATTGTTCATACCATTTTTTCTCTGATAAATGTCTTCTTAAATGACTTATCCCTTTTGATAACTGAGCAACACTGTATATTTGTTCAAGAGTAATGTTATAAGAACGTGAACGGACATTTGGCGTGGAGATTAAATAAAAGATTTGTACATTATTTACATTATTCGGACAATTGTCCTCATCTTTTTCGCCATATCTATAACAACGGCCTTCTTCAGGTGGTTGGAATGTTGAACCGAACCCTTTATTTCGCTCACTGGGGTAGACTGTTCTAGTTCCACGTGCCATGTTTGTCCTCAAGGACACATGGCACAGTGGATAAAGGCGTTGGTTAGATCCAGTGACAGGACTCAAAGAGTGGGAGTTCAATACCCAGTTAAGGCAGTGGAGAACTTTCAGAGGGAAATTAGCAGGAGATAACTGATAACTGACATCCATCAAACATGGCACGTGGAACTAGAACTGTCTAGCCCAGTGAGCGAAATAATGGGTTCGGTTCGACATTCCAACCACCTGAAGAAGGCCGGAGCGTACAACGGCCGAAACATTGTGATAGATATGGCGAAAAAGATGAGGACAATAGTCCGAATCATGTACATAATACCTCATCTCAGAAATATAGACAGACATATATTTGTATATAAGTAAATGGCGCAGCCACTCGAATCCGAGGATGCCAGTCTACTAGGGAAGCTAATTAATCCCCATTGCAGATGCGTTCTCAGGCACATTTGTTTTTGCCCAACCCTCACAGAGCACACCTGTAGTTTATACTATGCTGAGCGGACTTTAGTTACAGTTTCTGGGAGAGAGTGCGTTATCTAGCGTGGTCAACAGCCTGAACAAGGCTAGCACGCTCAAACCCTCTGCTATGACTGATTACACCCTTAAGCAAATTAATTGAAACAAAACGAATAATTTCGTTATTATTTACTTTTTTTCGTATTTTCCAATGAGACATGATCCAGTGAACATCTTAGTATGTCCATTCCACGAAGTCGTTGCAGATTGACCAAAGATTCTAGATTGGATTTTAATCAGGAGAGTTTCTGGGCCAATCTATAGTACTTTGAGTTGCTCACTGGTAAGGCTTGCCAGTGTGTTAGTGCAGCATTACGAATTTTCGTACGTTTCCTTGGAATAACGTCCATCGGAGACAATGACCATAAGACAACTAATCGACAGTCGGAACAATAATGTCTGGGCGTGATAAAAATCTGATGCAATCACGGATGACGCAATATTTTTCAAGGCCAAACAAATTTCATCACGCACTCTGAAAATAAATTCATATTACTGCACACCACTGCAAATGATCTAATCTGAGGGGAAAATAGAAATAGATTACACCCTGTCACTCTAGTAGGTCTAAAACTGACCGTATGGTGAAAGAAAGAAAACTAAAACGGCTGTTTCAATTAATTTGCACAAGGATGTGTGTACGGAAATGATTATGTAGCTGACACTAGTATGCACGTGGTCTGACGAGTCGGTCTGCTAAAGGGCTTCCTGATTTCTATTCGAGTACAAACGTTTGTAACTTTGTGTTGGAGATGTTCTGCAATTTTTATGATGTCTTATAAATTCTAGCAAAGATACAACTTAATATTATGTCACGATGATTTGTGACTTAGTGCAAGCACAACCGACGACGTTCCTCAAGGGTTCCATCTACCAAATTTAGCTTACAAGGCTTGGGTCAACCCGTCGTATGGTTTTCAGGTACTGGAGACCGATAACATCAAGAAGTCACCTTACTGACAAATCGAGCATCTGAACGGTTATTGTGCTTATTGAATATCTTCAGAAGGGCCACACCATCAATGGAGAGTACTATGCCAAATTGCTGAGGCAGTTACAAAAGACTATCATGACCAAACGTCCAGGAAAACTGACGAAAATGGTCTTGTTTCAGGACAATGCTCCAGCATATAAGTCCTTGGTTTCAATGGCTGTTGTTCGTGATAGTAGCTTTGAACTGGCTGATCATCCTCCCTATTCTCCCGATTTGACTATCATCTGTTCCCCAACATGAAAAAACACTTTGCTGAGAACCAGTATCTCAGGGATAATGACGTCATATCTGTTGTTGATGACCGTAAGTTCTATGCTAACAGTTTCCTTTCTGGTACTTCTCGCTTTTGGAACTCTCTTCCGACTTCTTGCTTTCCAGCCAACTTTGATCTTCAAAAATTTAAATGCAATGTCAACCGTTATGTACAATCTTCTTGATTACTCTTTTATTGTTCTTGCTCCTTAATAATGTTTCTTTTTCTTTTCTTTTTCTTATTCTTTCACACTCGGTAACTCCTTGTGTATTAGTGATTTTACTGCGTTGCTTGGGCTGAAATGATTAAAAAAAACTTACTGGTCAAGCCAAAGGATTGCTTTATTTAACGTTTCTTGCCAGACTTTGTTTGCTTGAAGTTGAGAAACGTCCCATGTGTCCAGTTCTCTGCTCAAATAATAACTGCAGTCTTTCATTCCCATCGACTTCAGAGAATTCATTATGATTTTTCTGTAAATAGCAAAGACAACAAAGAAGTCGTGTATCAAAAGTGTATGTTCACCCGTGCTCTTGTAAAACGATGGCAACATTGACATATTTGACAATTTATAAACACAACGCTATTACAAGCTGATATGTTCCGGAAAGGGATATATTTGAACGAAGTAGCTAAGTGGTTTTGGCTACTATAACCAAGTAGAATACGGTAGCAGTAATCGACTAGTACGCGTCGTAGTCGCAGGTAAGAAGTGTAGATCAATGGCGTAGTCTAATGGGCGTCGTTAAAGACTTAGCTCTCAGACTAAGGCTCTGACTCACCTATACGTCCGTCGGTATTTGTGATGGACACCAGCCAATCATATTCCAGTGAGGGGGAACACAGGTGTTTGCATATTCCATTATATCACAAACGAACTGCCAATTCTAATTTTTTTTTTTTATCGCAGATGAACTCTCCGTTATGGTACATATACTTTCTGAATTTAAGCGCAGTACTAGATTGGCAGCAAGGTCTCGTCAACTTACAGTTGAATTGGCTAGGTGTAACCGTAAGTTCTATGCTAACAGTTTCTTTTCTCGCATTTCTCGCTTATAAAATTCTCTTCCGATTTCTTGCTTTTCAGCTAACTTTGATCTTCAAAAATTTAAATGCAATGTGACAGCCAATGTACACAACTGTATAAAGAAATCAAAAGAAAATGGTTGAATCCATCAACACAATAAAAACAATTTTTCTACACTTGACGTAATTTTCAGTTGACAATATGAATACAATAGCGTTTTCTAAATCTTCTAATTGTTAAGGACAATTTGTTTTGTGGTTAATAGTTACTTTGTTTTCAATAAATTTATTTTGTTTTTGCCTTTAAAAAGTCCACAATGGACGAAACGCGTCGGATAATAATACAGTTGGTCTGGTCATGTTGCAAATATGAGTGAAGATAGAATAACTAAGGTCCTCATGTACAGTCAGCTTGACAGTGGTCAAAAGACTGTTGGACGGCCGTGGCTCCGTTATAAAGACCATCAAAAGAGTAACCTCTTAGGTGTCAATGTGTCTCATACTAACTTCGGGCTTGTTGCCCTGGATAGAAATAGAGATATTTGTGCCAGAATAGTATCAGGAATTTCTAAATCAGTCGTATTGACCAGGTAAGAGACGAAAGACAATGGCAAAAGCGTCTGAAATATTCCTGTTAATTAATAATACAAATTAACAAATATTACAATTTAATTAATAATATAACACAACATGACTTCGATTTAAACCAAAAAAATAAATAATAATTTGATTTAAAGAAAATTAATTTTGAAGAAAAAAAATTCAAAATTGGATGAAAAATCTACAGCTGAATAAATGAAGACGTAAACAAAAGCAAAAATTCATGAACGTGCGCGTGTAAAAGTACGTTAAATTCATGAATACGCACGTGTACAAAACGGGGTAAAACGGATTGAAAAAGACGCGGAAGAAAATGAAAGAATTAGAAATATCATGTAAAAACAGAATCCCCTGAAGAACGGAAATTTTATCAAGAAACTTCGAAATCAGGGAAAACAACAAAAAATTGATATTTAAAAATTAAGTAATCTTTTATATAATATGATTATATATATATATATATATATATATATATATATATATATATATATATAATGGATTTTTTTAATCAAACTGTGGTTTCTCTTACAAAGGGAAAAGCAGGTTTAATCCCTGCCAGGGAATGCATTTTCTTTACTAAGATTTCTCGAATGCGCAAGCCGGTAGACGTAATACCAGTGGAGGGACTATATTTTTTGAGACCCTGAAGCTTGAACAGATTGGGTGGCGGAGAGCTTTCACAACCAGCAACAATAGATTCGAGGATACAATTGCCAAATTGTAGGCTATGAATAGATTCCGGCGAGCTAATCGAGTCCATATAGATAGAGGTTTGAGCGCTGCAAACACCCAAGAAAACTTTGAAATTTAACCAATTTTAAGACCATATGAAGAGGGTATTATAACATATTCTAAGGCCAGCATTAGCTACTTCAACCCACTGGCTTATGATTCGATCACTAAAATGGCCTTATTTTAATAAGAAACACTTAAAAAAATCATTGATTTTGTTGAAAAATTCACTCATTAAAAATGTTTCTTCAGCGGATTAGGGACCCTGAAACTTAATCTTCATTAGTTTCAGAGTAGATCCGCCACTGCGTAATAATCGCTGTTTAACAAAAAAAAAAAAAAAAAAAAAAAATTGGGCCGTTTATTTCAAACACGAAGTATCCACTATAATAATGTTTGAATTAATATACCTAAATACATAAAAAATCGACCTAGCATTAATGAAAAATGCATAAGTTATTTTTAACTTCAATATAAAAGTAAAACGAGAAAATAAACAGTCAATTTCTTATATCCCCAGACGAGTGAACGGAACAATTACTGCAGTGTCTTTTTTTAAAAATCTAGAGTAAGGATGCTGAGTGCTAGTGTTAATAAAATAGTGATCGATGTGATATAATAGAACTATAAATTATATATATATTTACATTTTTCCTCGGCAATAGCACGACTTGGAGTTTCATGCACGACCCAATCATCAGGTGCTGAATAGATCCCGCATACACGAGGTCGGATAGCTGTCTATCTCTCCAAACGAAATTTTGCCTTTCGGCATAGCCTCGTCTGGGTTCCTCTCTGCCTCCAGGCAGAGAGTTGACAAGCAGTGTTAAGTGTAATCATTAACTACTCGGTATTTAACCGAGACCTCCTCACAAGGCGGGATATGGTACAAGGCCGTTATTCTTTGTTTGTGCGACGCGTTCCGAGCTCTTAATCTCGGGCAAAAATTGCCCCGTATACACGAGGTCGGGTAGCTGTTTACCTACCGAGACGAGACTCTGCCCTTCGGCATAGCGTCGCCTGGGTTCCTCTCCGCCCGAAGGCAGATAGTCGACAAGTAGAGTTAACTGCAATCGTTAACATTCGCTTAGTAAGAGATAATGCTGTTTAAATAGCCTTAGAACAGTCCCCCTTGTGGGGGTGTTCAGCTATTCCACAACACAAATAAAATCCTTACATTTACCTTGATAATGTCCACCAGAGGACGAAACTTTTCTTTTGTCTTTATTCACTCTTATAAGACTCAATTCAGCACCTGAAGTTTGCGTTGTGCATGAAACTCCGAGGCGGGATAATGGTGAGGAAAAAAATGTTTATTTATTATGGAGTAATTTTTTTAAATGACATAAATATAAATAAATAAATAATAAAGGTGATCAGTGTATTACTTAAGTTCGCGGTCACCGTGAATGAAATATGCCACCAGGTACACGACCAGGTCATCTTTGGGTTGGAAAGAGGCATAAAGATTTTTCAACGCTAGTTTGACGAACACCCTTTCAGTTTCCTGCAGGCAGCCCATTTCGAGCGGGTCTTGCTTTAAAGTTCTTGTCAATGAGTCATAGATAATTTCCTTATCGCCGGCGCCATATTTAAGAAACATGTCCATCACGGCGGACAAGATATCGCTTCGGTTGTTTTTGCTTGTTGTTGACATTTCTTCCAAGAGACGCTTGACGAAGACGTCACCATTCCAAGGCTGAAGCAAGTCCTGCATAACATGAATATATATATATATAAATGAGAGAATCCACAGTTCGTAGCATTTACTTTAAAAAAAGAGCTCAATACGAAACAGAGCAAAATATTATTATTATATTTTTATCATAAGAGATTATAATAAAAAACATTTTGAAATCACTACACAAAAGCTTTCATGTTTCAATACTATGATTGTATTTCTTCAGTTACTTACCATCGCTGAGAACTCACTCGATTCGCGTATTTTTTCGATAGAACATATTTAAAATGTTCTTGTATTATTTTCCTGTTATTTAAGTGATAAAACAGTTGTGATATAACAGTCCATTTTTATGACAGAATGGTACACCTTCATTGTAAAAAAACAAACGAAAAAAATATGCGTAGTGCTTGGGCTTTGTTCTTCATTAAGGGCTGCGGCTGAGGTCTTAAAAGTGGTTTATGCTAAGTCTGGGGGGGGCATCATCACAGTTCTGTTTTTAGAAAATGTTTTAAACGTTACATTTTATGTCTTGTTACTTATATTTTATACAGTATTTTCAATGCTTGTATCGATCTATGTGTAATTAAAAACGGTTATTGTACGTATGAAAGAAAATTTACGTTAAGTGTATGGTCACCAATACTATTTCTCAAAAATATTTTTAAAGAGATTTGAAATGTTTCTAAAGTGTTTAGGGTGAAAGTGTAAGGCATATGGGGTTTCAACACTCAAAATAGGTGCTTATAAGCACTTTTAGGGGGGTTATAAGTATTCGCGGATTCTAACTATTTGCGGCTGGTACTGGTCCCCACCCCACACGAATACGGGGGACTCACTGTATATGTGGAGCCCCGTTTCAGAATTGTAGAGAAAAGTTAATAGATTTAAGTAGTGTCATTGAAAGCTCAATTTTTGTACAAAACCGGCTCCAGATATTTGAATCTTTGTATTCATACATGTTAACCAACCAGCGACGTCGAACGTGACGCGCAGTATTCTTTGAATAGGCAGACAGTAAAATATCTTAAAACACAATTTTGGAGGATCAACTTCAGAATAGCTTAAACAATATTTTCCCTCCTTAAAAAGAGTATTTATAAATTGGGAAAATATATATTAGCCATTAAGCTTGAGATTAATAAATCTAAATTTTAGATTCATCCAGAACCTACCATTTTATTATGAATATGATCAATTCTTGTTCGCTAACTAGTCTTTCAGTGAACCTTTGACCGGGGTGTTTGTTCGATCGTTTGTCCCACCAACGAAACTGAAATTCTCACCCATATCTTTCGCATTTTTATTCGAGTATGCAGTATTACAAAAATTATGTTTAGCGATAGAGACGACATTTCGCTGACTTGTTGACATGCGGCAACAGTCGCAACTAACTTCATATCATACACACACAGTAAAAACAATGTAAACTTGTGTCACAGACATCTGCACACATATAGACGCATTTTTCTGTTATTCCGTTTATCCTATACTAACGCAATTCATTCAGTTGTACTGTAAAAAAAGATACACAAAACATTTTGTGTGAAGTTATTCGCAAAGAATCTTTGTAATTCCTTTCTTTCAATTTGGAATCAATTATTTTACAAAAAAAATCAAAACCCTAATATATATATATATATATATATATATATATATGATAAAAATATAGTTCTATCAAAGATAGAGAGTATGTAACTATAAAAGTGGACACTGAGGTCAACACCAAACATTGACAATCTGTTTCATGCTTGAACACAATCTTCACATCATAAAATTGCGTTGAAGCATGAAATAGACTGGGAGCCGTCGATAGTTGAGCTATCACGAATTCACAAGTCATCGTGAGCGAGGGTTTGAGCGTACTGGTCTTGTTCAGACTGCTGGTGACGTCAGATAATGCGCTCTCTCCCAGAAACTGTAACTAAGGTCTGCTCAGCATAGTTGCAGTGTAAACCACGGGTGGTCTCTGTGAGTGTTGAATAAACAGAAATATGCCTGTTTATCAATATAGCCCAGTCTATTCATATCTATCTATCTATCTATCTCAGTCTGTTCATATTTATCTATTTCAGTCTGTTCATATTTATCTATCTCAGTCTATTCATATCTATCTATCTATCTATTCATATCTATTTCAGTCTATTCATATGTATCAATTTAGCTAACATTGTCTACTCATGTCTGTCTATGTTTATTCATACCTATGTCTATTCATATCTATGTCTATTCATATCTATCTATGCCTATTTATATCTATCTCAGTCTATTCATATCTATCTATCTATCTATCTATTCATATCTATTTCAGTCTGTTCATATGTATGTAATTATCTACCATAGTCTATTCATATCTATTTCTATAAAGATCTATCTATCTATCTATCTATCTATCTATTTTCTTATCTATCTCTCTATCTCAGTCTATTCACATCTATCTCTCTCGGTCTATTCATATCTATCTATCTATTACTGTCTGTTCATAAGTATCTCAGTCTATTCATATCTATCTATCTATCTATCTATCTATCTTTTTGGATGATGAGAAAATGTCCCAATACATCTAACATCTCACTGACCTGTTTTGGTTGCGGGCAACAAATTTTGAACCATTCCATCGACTCGTATTTGCCAATCTCGGGCGGATATTCTTCTGTCGTTGACGACATCGCCACTCCTTCTTGACTGAGAGCAGCCGCCGAAGATATTCGCGACACTGGTGATGTTGATGATTGTGCCACTTCTGCATAGGACGATTTCGGCCTTGTGACGTACTTAATCACAGAATTTCCTTCTGGATCTTCCACCACGACTCTTTCTGCTTTCGCTGTGACAGCTGGGGCAACTAATTCCACAGTTTCTACAATTTCGGTTTCCTAGGCAAATAAATAAATAAATAAATAAATAAATAAGTGAAAGTTAGGCATAATTCTATATTCATTTGAAATATGTCTAAAATGTAGAAGAATGCTACAAAAATGGATGTGCGGATGGTGTAATGGATAACGACTGGGAAAGATAAATCAGAGAACTGAGTTCAAATTCTAGTCGGGTTTGTTACATTCACTTACTCGCAAAAACCCTTTGCATATACTTCCCACGGCTATGGGTTAAATAGTATAACTTGCATCTGGAAAAATAGTTTTCTTAAAAAACTATTAGTTCAATATTCACTCGCAAAAAATAAGAATTATAGCTAAAATCCAAAATATGTTTCAGCTTTAAATAACCCACAAAGGGTTGATAAGACGTAAAAAATATCGATCAATCAATACCAAACGCTATTTACGGCATGGTATATTAATTTTACATTCTATAAATTGATATTTACTCATGTCATAGTGTGGCTTCGCGAACAGAGATTTAGAAGTATTTACAACGTCTTCTAGTGATCAGCAACGCAAGCCTAGTATTGACAGCTTATTCCACAATAGTTGCAGAAGGAAATATGACAATCAGTGGCGAGCTCCGGTTCTCAAGTAAATCTTTTTCTCTTGTGCTCTTGCTTCGGAAAGAAATCTTACGTAGAGGACGCGACTTCACTATGTCTACCTATTGGTAGCATCTGTCGTAAACTGGCGATGTTTGGTTAAACAAGAGCAGGAGTCCCCCGCCCTTTTTTTTAAAAAAAAGAAAAGAAAAAGAAGCTTAGTATTGTAATATATAATATATAGTATTGTATATATATGTTAAATGACACTAGGAATAAAGAAAAAAGGAAAAACTTTTCTTTACTGTTGTGGTGTGCTCCCTCGCATGAGGCTATTGTGGACTCCTCCACTTACTATAAAGTAGTAGGAAGTAAGCCTCGGGGGAATAGTGATATAGACTGTCCTACTGAGGCTGTTCGCAGCGCCTGTTGAACTCTCTGCCTTGGGCAGAGAGGAACCTGGACGAGACTGTGCCGAAGGGCAGAGTTTCGTCCAGGGAGGTAGACAGACCCGAACTCGTTTATGCGGGTTCTACGGGGAGTTTTGGCCGAGCCTACGAGCTCGGATGACCCACGTTAAACTCGGCCTTGTGCCACATATATCCCTCGTGGGTGGGTGGGGGCTGCTAAATATAACCGTGATAGACTGATTAACCGATACACACTCCCAAGTCGTGTAACACACTTCTGTTGTATTTACTTTTCAATACACGATTTATCTGCAACCTCTTCTTTTGCTATTTCTTAACCATATACTTGGTCACAACATTTACCAACGCGTTTTGTCCTCTGTTGGACATTATCAAGGTAAATGCAAGGATTTTATTTGCAACATGTATTATGAGCAGAAGTAAAAATAATATTGTTAGATCTTCAAAGTTTTCCAATTTAATTCGCTCGGAAATATTCTTAAGGTTTACTGTGAAAGACAAAATACGTTATGCACAACGCAAACTTCAGAACGTGCTATCTAGGTAGGCAAAATAGACAGTGCCTACTCTGAATAAAATATATCACCAGCTATTTCTTTTTATGGCACAATATGCACATAATCTAACAAAATTATGAAGGTTACTCTGATTATTATACATAAAATGTAAAATATTTTATTCTTTGTAGATTTAACTGCCTACCCTGAATAATTACTGACGGCAAGTGCCTTATATATATATATATATATATATATATATATATATATATCACATTGAGTGCTAGTGTTAATAAAATAGTGCTCGATGTGATATAGCAGAACTATAAACTATATATATATATTTTTTTTTTCCTCAGCAGTAGCACGACTTGGAGTTTCATGCACGACCCAATCATCAGGTGCTGAATAGATCCTGCATACACGGGGTCGGGTAGCTGTCTATCTATCCAAACGAGACTTTGCATTTCGGCATAGCCTCGTCTGGGTTCCTCTCCGCCTGGAGGCAGGGAGTTGATAAGCAGTGTTAAGTGTAATCATTAACTACTCGGTATTTAACCGAGACCTCCTCACAAGGCGGGATGTGGTACAAGGCCATTGTTTTTTGTTTGTGCGACGCGTTCCGAGCTCTTAGTCTCGGGCAAAAATTGCCCCGTATACACGGAATCGGGTTGCTGTCTACCTACCGAGACGAGACTCTGCCCTTCGGCATAGCCTCGCCTGGGTTCCTCTCCGCCCGAAGGCAGATTGTCGACAAGTAGAGTTAACTGCAATCGTTAACATTCGCTTAGTAAGAGATAGTGCTGTTTAAATAGCCTCAGAACAGTCCACCTTGTGGGGGTGTTCAGCTATTCCACAACACAAATAAAATCCTTACATTTACCTTGATAATGTCCATCAGAGGACGAAACTTTCCTTTTGTCTTTATTCACTCTTATTATTTTGAGGGATGGACGGATCCTACTAACATTGTTTTGTTTTAGTTTTATCTTTGTGTTTCATTTTGAGTTGAGTTTTCTGGTTTCATCTTCCTACACCATCATTTAATAAATCATGAAATTTTCATATAAACGAACTTCATGGACAATGAAATGAAATTTTTACCTCATAGAATGTTCTGCAGGTCCCCTGTGAATATGCGGTATTATGGTATATGCAGGATTGAGTGGTGATGGATGAGTTCTTGTGGTGAATGGGCAAATTGTAATGAATGTATGGGTCGTGATTCTGATTAACTAGGACTAGAATAGCTAATGAAGATCAGCCTCTCCCCGTTTCTCCTTTGGCCTTGTGGCACAATTTTGTATTTTTACAAATTAAATATACATATTGTCTTTTTACAGAGAGAGATGGAGAGAAAATGCATTCAGTTTTCTGAGCAAGGACAGATAGATAGAAAAGTGTCAAAGGTTACTTACAGACACAAGAGACAGTAAACAGAGAGTAATGACCAGCCACGTCCAGAAGGCCCATGGTAAATAACAGAAGACTTATGAAAAGAATTAGTAACAATTTCTATCTTAGCAAAAATCCCTCTCCATAAAATTTGACATCACTTCCTAGAATCGAGGTGCCTCCAATTTGAAAAGTACTGTTCGAAATTAACTGAATCGATAACTTCCTAATTTGTTATATTCATAACGAAAGAATTACAAATTTCATTAACAAATGACCAAGCCCTGACTAGAAGAGATCATATTCATTTTCATGGACGGCATGAATCGCCATTAAGAAAGTCGATCATCGATTATAGCTTAGCTTAGTCTGCGGTAAATTTGCTTTTTAACGAAATTAACTGTCTCTTTACAATGTTTGCACATTTTTTAATTTGTCATTATTTTCATATATTTGAAACTTTTACCTTTCTCTCTTTACAAACTTTGTTTTATTTTCAATTTTAAAAAAATAAAAAATAAAATGCTTTACTGTACTACTTAATTTGTTCTTTTTGTTATTTTTTTAATTTTTGTTTATATATATGCCTCAAAAAATTACATTGCTTTACGGTAGTGGATATTGATTTCGGAAACGATCTTCTGTAAAGGAAGTATATTGGCCAAAATTTATGTTTGCGCCACTGGAAGTATTCCGCGCTAATTTACTGAACATTATGGCGGACGAATGACCAACAGGAAGTTCAATTTTTTCTTGTCGAGAACTCCAAAACGGTAGGTTTTCTTCATAATTTAATAGTTAATTCGAGTTCAGCATGTATATTTACACGGAATTATGACGAATTGGGAAAATTTTAAGTGATATTTAGCGTGCGAGCGTTTGGGCGTTATAAAGCAAATTTACCTTGTCTGTTACAAGTGAGAATTGAACTCACTACGCAGTATTAATAACTCGTTATAGAATGTTAGCAGCCTTGATTTATAAAAGGCCCCTGACAGACACATTAACTGAAATATACTATAATACATACTTCGACAGAGATAGTCGCTTCGCTGAGAGGTTCCGGACTTGGATCTTCTTCTGGAATCGGAGTTTCTTCCCTTGGTGATGGTTCAGGAATTGGTGAAGGTGGTGATAAGGAACGTTCTTTCTCTACTGGTTGAGGGGGCATGAATCTCAAGTTGGTAAAAAGCTTCTGGCGAACAAAAGATGAAACAAAAAATGAACTAGATATTAAACATAGAAAGTTCGGGACGGATTATCCTTTAGGCTGCGGCTTAGGGCCTCTTAATCTATTATAAAGCAATGATTTTAATCTTCTAAATAGTTTCATAAACTGAAATGATATCAATATGACAAACTCATACTTATTTGACTTTACAGTAAGCAAAGCAAGAAAAAGAATGTTTTAGTTTGTGTCATTGTATTTCAAGTAGATAATATGTTTGATTTTAGTTCAAAATGTTTAAATCTTAGAAATATTTAGGAAGAAGTGGTTTTAATTTTCTAAATGTTATGACTTCTAAATAGTTTCATAAACTGAAATGAAATTATATCAATATGACAAACTTCCTATCTCGTGTAGCTAATATCAATTTTCTCTCTTTGCTAAATCCCCCCCCCCCATTCCGCCATCTATTCACACAAGCTCGCCAGGTGAGTAGTTCGTTGTCTTACCCTATCGCTATTGTCCTCAATATGTTCCGTTAGGATTAAGTTTTCCAAGCCTTTCTTTCTCATTATATGTCTAAAGAAATTCAGCTGCTTCTTCCTGATTTTGAGTAGAAGTGTTCTTTCTGTTGAATTTTAAGACTTGCCCTCAACATGCCCCGTGAGGGTCAAGTTTTCCAAGCCCTCCTTCCTCATTATGTGTCCAAGGAATTTCAGCTATCTTTTCCTGATTCTGAGTAGAAGTGTTCTTTTTGTTGCCATTTTAAGACTTGCCCTCAATATGCCCTTTGAGGGTTAAGTTTTCCAAGCCCTCCTTCCACATTATGTGTCCATAAAATTTCAGCTGTCTCTTCCTGATTCTGAGTAGAATTGTTCTTTCTCTTGCTATTTTCAGACTTGTCCTCAATAAGCTCCGTGAGAGTTAAATTTTCTATGAGGTCTTGTAATTTCCTTTCCGAATCGGTCATCAACACTGTCATCTGTGTATCTTATGTTGTTAAGGTTATGTCTGTCGACAATTCATCCTGATATGGTATCTAATGTTCCTTTAGTATTGCGTCGTTGTTAAGGTGTTGAATATTGGTTAGAGAAAGACCTTTGGCCTTACTTCCGCTGCATCAGTGTGTGAGTGGAAATCGGAACTGGCGATAGCATAAACAGGAAATGTATTCAGTGGCTAAAATAAACAAGATGTACAGGTGTTTTAACCCCTGAATAAATGGGGCGCACAGGTGTCCTGGGCGGAAGGAAATGCGTACTTGCGTGGGCGCATGCCGGAAGAGACATGACCACACAAAGCTGCGTAGGCGACATACCGGAAGAAGGCCTAGCCACGTGAAGTTGAGTAGGCGTCTAAATGTTATATATTGGACTTCCTGTTGATTCTCGATCTGGACGGAGAGGCTGGCTGGAGGTTCACCGAAGATTTGTCTCCGTCAATTCCTGTGTGCAATCCTAACCTCTGTGATTCTCCCACACTCTACCCATACAGTATTTTTAATTCTTCGCTTCTTTTTAATGAGAAAGTAACCATAACAACTGATTCTATATTTTTCTTTTTCTTTCTTCGTACCGCCATTTTCTCTAGCTGTAGTTTCATTTTTCTTTTTTTTTTATCTCATTTCTCCTTCCTATTGTCCTATTTTAATATGTCGGTTTTCGTATAACATCGATTAAAATGTATAAAATCTTTATTGACTTATCTGTCATTAAAATTGTTATTTTCACTAAATGTTTAATGAATAGCATGAATTGTTTCTTTGATTTTTTCCTGATAAATAATTTGTCAGCTAGTTAAGGGGTTTCACTTTTACATTGTGTAGATAAATATACGAGAGTAAGTGAAAAATTATCCCCACTTTATTCATTATATATGTTTCTGTTTGTCATACTGCCTTTTGCTATTGCGTACTTATTGTTGGTAATATTGTGGTCACGTGATCGAAGTTTGAGCTTGATCGCGCCAGTTTTCATGCTGTTGTTACAGTGTAAACGTAGCCTCTCCGCTAGCAGTGTGCACCAAGGAGGAACAAAGAGCAATGACCCGATTTCTTAGATCGGAAGGTGCGTCTGGAGCTGAAATTCATCGGAGGCTTTTAACACAATACGGCGACTGGGTACTACCGCGTAGACGTGTGTATGAGTGGATTGAGAATTTTAAAAGTCGCCGTGAGGCACGAAGAAGGTGAAACCTCCACTACTGACGAGAAGATTCAGCAAACTCGAGAAATGGTCATGGAGAACCGGCGAGTAACAATTGATGAGGTACCATGTTGTATGCAGATACGGATCACTGCTCTTTGTTCCTCCTTGGTGAACACTGCTAGCGGAGCGACATGTTTACACTGCGACAGCAACAAGAAAACTGGTGCAATCAAGCTCAAACTTCGATGACATGACCACTATATTACCAGCCATATTACAGAAAGAAGTGTGACAAAACTAAATATATGGTAAAATTTCTGACAATTTTTGACTTACTCTGGTACTTAGCAAGATATGATTTTACAATAGGTGTCGTTTTATAACCGGGATCAACGGTGATTTTCGGTCTTTTAGCATCAAACCAGTTGACCCAGTAAGGGCAGATCAGATACTGATCCACTTCCCTATAATTAGATACAACTTCAGAGGCATCAATTACCCTCTTGGTAGCTTGATTGGTACATTTTTTTAAATTGTCATATAGGAAAAAAAGGAGTAACTACCGACACTGGGGTTAGAGTTTGACAATTTGGACTTATGAATATGTTTTCCGCCAGGTATATAAATAGTGGTGTCAGGCTACTGACTAAGGTGAATATTGAGTCACTATTGAGTGGAACTATCCAGTTGAATTAGTGTGAATTATTGTGCGTCGGTGTTTGGGGTTTTGATTTAGGATTACCGAACGTTAAGCGGAGCCGTGCTACTAACAAGGTATTTTCTGAAATGGTTAATTATCTTTGGTTGAATTTTACTTCTTTGTTCTTGTTAAGTATTTATTTGCGGTTGTAATTAAATACCGTTTTTATCTTGACATTGATGTCTTGAGTTATACTTAATTATTAACGGCTACCATACGTCACAAAAAATCAATATTAAAAGTTACAAAGAATTCAATATAATTGTTTTTTTTCTAATGAAATTTCAATCAAATCATATTTCATAACGTAATCCTTGATAGCAATTTAAAGAGCAATAAGTTTTTCTAGACGGCGCCGATCTCCTCTCCGATCATATGAGCAGTAGGGAGTCATTTCTGACCTGCTCCATATCACGTCAAATAGAACCGGTGAACCGTGTTCAAATCCCGACTGAAGTATTTTTAATACTATAATTCAGTCAATATAAGGCTCAGGAGCCTCCCAAGGTAAAGTGTGACTGAATAAGATGACCGAAGTATTTTTATTCTATTGTTCACCCAAAGGCACAAGAGCCACTAAAGGTAGAGCGTTATTGAAAAAAACTGTTATAAATGAATAAAAGGAAGAAGTAAGAAGTGTACATTATTAGGATATGTAGGATGGATAACGGTTAGTCCTAAACGTGAAGAGGTTAAGAACGTAGTGACTGAGTAAGCATCCTCTCGGGATTCCCCCCCACAAATTAACAGTTCTGGGGAAGAAGCTGTCTGAATGGAATGGTATTTTTATACTATTGTTCATCCAAAGGTACAAGAGCCACTAAAGATAGAGTATGACTGAAAAAGACTGTTATAAATGCGTAATTGTAATTGTAGATTATGAGGATATGTAGGATGGATAATATCTGGTCCTAAATATGAAGAGGTTAAGATCGTATTGATCGAGTAAGCTTCCTCTTGGAAGCTTGTTGCACTAATTAACAGTTCTGAGGAAGAAACTGTTCGGATGGAACTTCCTCCTTACCAATGAAATACGACGAGAATGAGGATGATTCGACTCCGCATACGTGGCATGGGAGGCTTTAGCTGTGAAGGTCTGAACTGGAGGAACTAAGGAATGTAGCTCATCATTTGCTATGAAACTAAGGATAGAAGCTGCGATAAACTAGAAACGCTCGTCTGTGGGAAAGGAGTGGCAAAAAAGTCATCACCCACAAGGCCGCGTACAAGGCAATTGAGGACTAGGCAGCACCAGCACAGATATGTTAGCAATTCTCCATTTTTAGTCTGATCTGGTTATGGTAAAGATACAGCATGGCAGGAAGCACCAAATACTTTATGGAAAAAAATAAATAAGCAAGTAACCGACCATTTTTCACAGTTTTTATCGATGGCATGAATATAGGTATTACACTTGAGGTTCCAGGCAGGGAGACAAATTATAACTGTTCATCATGAATCGAGTAAATTTAGGGCCTGTTCAGTGGTGAGGAAACGTTGCAATTTTTAAAAATTTCTTTTGGCGGTGTTCAATGATACAAACTAATCATTCTCCCATTGAGCTACAAGAGCTTGATCAAAGGAGAGATAAGCTGCCAGGCACGGATCATCAAGATATTTGGAGAATGAAATCAGCTAGCCTTTTCCTCATTGAGCTGTGAGAGTTAGGTCAGAGGAATGCTCAGCTGCCAGGCACGGATCATCATGATATTTGGAGAATTAAATCAGCTAGCCTTTTCCTCATTGAGCTTGTGGAATTGCGCAGGGATTCCACCTACTTTTACGTGCACGCGCGTATTGCACCCCTTCCTTTCACATTCGGCTAGATATAGTAGTAAACAGCCATCTGCTGACGACGTGAGGAAGCTGCTGGCTGCTGCTGATTCCAGCTAAAACAGAATTTGAAGTTTTCCCGTGCATTCTCTGACGTCACTGACGAACGGTGTTTTTCAAATCAGTCGCTGTCTGGTCTCCGAGCAAAAAGGTCGACTCATTTATTTTGCGCCCCTTACCCATACGCGGGCCGAATTATCTTAACTACAAAAACTTCCTAGTAAACTCCTTGGCTCATCATGCCGAATCTCTTCATGGGTTTGAACTTTCTGCGAACAACTTGTTAGAGCTTTCCTCCATTTTCTACCAGAGAATGTAGAGTTGACGACACCATCGCCATCACACTTTTACAATGACTAATTCCTCGTCCTGACGCGAACAACTTGTTCGAACTTTCCTTCGTTCACTACCAGGGAACGTAGAGTTTTTCGACACGGACGATTGATAAACTTCACATACACCTTTGGAACTCTAACCTTACGAACCAGTTTAAAAAGAAAGAGAAAAAAATTAACATTACACCCACATGACAAAAATCTTGCAGTGAGTATTTTTCCTTGTTGTGTAGGCATGTACCTTTTGCATAAGAAGACTCTGTTCCAGAATTTTCCTTCTGAGAGAACCTATCCCGCCTTAGCCATTTTGATTTTCGTTTTGGCGCGGAACATTAACATTCTTTTACTGACTACTTGTCACTACCTTTTACAGCTTGCCTACTTGCTAAGAGCTGGCTTTACTTTTCTAATAGTCTCCACTGTTTGAGACAAAATACCTTTTATTAAATAAAGTTTATATTTGTTTTCCACCAGACTCGTTTTCGTCTTCCTCCTGGCTACCTATTTTTTTTTTACCTTTTTATGCATGTGTTGAATGACCCTTTTTCCTCACTAAGGAGACTGTAATAATTCTACAGTTAAAAGATCATACATTTATTATTTTTAATTTGCTAGTGAATTCGGTAGTCGTGAGTAGTGTCTGGCACAAGGCCACCTTTTCGTAGGCCAGCACTGCATGCTACCGGGTCTGCTACAAGCTGTGAGAGTTAGGTCAGAGGAATGCTCAGCTAGCAGGTACGGATCATCAAGATATTTGGAGAATGAAATCAGTCAGCATTTTCCATATTGAGCTATGAGAGTTAGGTCAGAGGAGAGATCAGCTGTCGGGCATGGATCATCAAGGCATTTTTAGAATGAAATCAGCCAGGCTTTGCCTCATTGAGCTGTTTGAATTATGTCAGAGTAGCGATCAGTTGCCTGGCACTGGAGTATCAAAGCCGATTAAAGCGAATATAATCTTTTTTTCTATCATTAAAAGAGCTAGATCAAACCAAAAATGTGGAACCGCTGCCATATGCTGGCCGGACCTGCTCAATTCTCTTTTTTTTTTGGGCTTGAAAGAGTACGTCTACGCGGCCTTGTGGGTCATTATATTTTCCTACTCTACAACCCCTTTCCATAGACGATACTTCGCAAGCCTCTCGCTAATATATTGCTAGTCTGTTACTATTTCCATGGCAAAAGTTCTGACATGTTATATTCCTTAGTGCCTTCAGTTCAGACCTTTACAACTTGCCATGTCATACAAACTGGGGCGAATCATTCATATTCCTTTTGATTAGTAAGTCGGTAGTTCAATTCGGAATGCTTCTTCCCAAGATTCGCTACTTTGTGGCAATGCTTTTCCGATAATACCAATCTTAACCTCTTCATGATGCTTCCCCGATTACACCAATCTTAACCTCTTCATTTTTATAATCAACCATTATTTTTCCTACATAACCTCATAAACGTCACTTTTGGCACCCTCCACTTGTGTTTATACAACAATCTTATTAATTAACACTCTTATTTGAGAGGTTCTTGTGTCTTGTATTGTTTGAAAAATTCGTAAAAAAATCTTCAGTCGGGATTCGAACTCGGTTTACCGATTCAATTTGACATGATGTCAATCATTAAGTCATCTCCCCAGGGCCAATGGAATTTTTCATAAAATCAGTATTGGCTTTTACATTACCTTAATTTCTGTGTCGTGTTGTTTTCTGTCATCTTCTTGGTTCTTAAGGTTATGGTCTCCCCACAGTAATTTGATAAGGACCGAATTGGGTAGATAGCCGTTTGGGTTGATATTTCCAGGAAATTGAACTTTCACGCCAGGACGTAGAGGTCGAGTATACGCTGATCGCCAGTCAGGAAAAAAACCAGGGATTTTTCCAGGTTTACTGGCTCCGAATTCTTCAAAAGAATTAAATAACAAATTCAAATTAATATTTTTCTTAATGTCTGTTGTTTGATTTTGCAACTATCTTAATTTTTATTGTTACATTCGGATAAATAATATCAATGCAAGACGTGAAATACCACTGTAAAACTATGGTTTAGAAAAGATAAGACTGGAAAGAAGAGAAGATCACTAGCTGGAACAAGTTTAAAGTGGCAGATATCGAATAATAAATATGGAATAAAAGAACTGGAATTGAGAAAGTATTGAACTGGTCATGCAAACACAGAGTCAGGCATCATAACAATATTTCATTTTGGATTATTTGTAGCACATGACAAAGAACAAGATTCTACTATTTTACTTTCTGCTTTAAACTTACCAGAAACATCTTTTTTGGTGGAAGGCCTATTTATATTTTCACAAACGTCATCGTTAAGGTACATTAGCTCTTCCGGAATCTGTAAAGTAAAAGAAATTTTAAAAAATTACAGTTTCCTTACATAATACACTCTGCCAAAGGTTAATTGTTTATTTTCACCCGTAACACTCTAGGGTCGTAGCGTCACTTCATGTACAGTCGCAGTAGTAGTGGCGTTTCCTGGACGGAGCCCAACAATCTTCATACTGGTTTTGAATACAGAGATTTTCCTTCTTCTAGAGCGGTTACCAAACAAGGCTATAGGACCCAGACTGTCCTGCTATTTACCCATAGATTAAAAAAAAAAGTTCATACCAAGCGAGACAATAAAGTCACTAAGATGCAAGGGATTACTGAGTGTTAGAAAATAGGATAAAAATATACTATTAAGGAGAGTGGACAATAAAAGAAGATGAATTATGATGACAGAAGATAACGATTGGCATTGTAATTAAATTTTTGAAGAACATAATTGACTGGGATGCAAGAAGCTGGAAGAGAACTAGCTATTTCAAAAGTAAATTGATGAGACCTTGCCGCCAATCAAGTACTGCGCTTAAATTAATAAAGTCTAGGCACCTTAGGGGAAAGTTGATCAAAACAATTATAGCTGGTAACTCCACCGTACCTCTAAAATCTAAGTAATTTCTTGATGAATTAGCGTACTTGTATGTTTAAAAAAAACCACTCGAATCCGAGGATGCCAGTCTACTAGGGCGGCTAGCTAATCCCCATTGCAGACGCTTGTTCAGGCACATTTGCGTTTGTCCAACACTCACAGGGCCCATCTGTGGTTTATACTGCAACTATGCTGAGCGGACCTTAGTTACAGTTTTTTTTAAGCATATCAGGTCAAGGGAGGCGGGAAATCCTCTATCACGCAAAATGAGAGCAAGAGTAAAGAAGGGTGTTTGAGGAAAGAATAAAGAGAAAAGCAGGGATCAAGATCAAGGCATCAGAAGATGTTGATTGACATTAGGTTGTAACCTAGGGAAGGTTACTGAATCGAAGAATCAAACGAAGGTTGGTAATGAACGATAATACTTAGGACAAGAACAACACATATAAGATTCGTCAGCGGCGCGTAGAAGTAGTCAACTGTCAGAAGTGAATCGAGTGAATTCTACAATGCATCTCCAACTGCAGGATGTCTACCAACCACCCCACGCGGTTAGATGTGGCATAAGGCCGAATTTAATGTGGGGTATCCGAGCCCGTAGGCTTGGTCAATAATTCCCCGTAGATACCGTATAAAACGGGGCCGGATAGCTGCTTCCTGAGACGAGACTCTGTCCTTCGACATAGCCTTGTCTGGGGATCCTCCCTGCCCAGAGGCAGAGAGTTTGACCAGCATAGCTGGAGACGAATCTACAACTGCAGATTAACATACAGTATTTACTACTGTATTTATGTGAATGAGGACATACCCATTATCGTCCGTAGGTATGCTAAAACACATTGCATTTGAATATTTGAAGATAATAGCTATCAGGGAGGCAAGTAAGAGGAAGGGTGCTCCACTGTCTGGAAGTGCGAGATAAGAAGCTGTTGGAGTAGAAGAGACGGCTATATTTAACCGTTTCGACAGTAAAAGGGTGGGCCGAGATGCCAATCTAGTAGCATGCTTAAATTTATGCAGTTTGGGTACCAGTAAAAGTAGCTGATCAGAGCAGTTGCTATGAAAATATTTGTAGAAAAGACAGAGGGAAGTCACATCACGTCTATGAGAAAGTGACTGTAGACGAGATGCCAGATCTCTGGATTTTGTCAAGGACATCGAGATGAACAGCGGGGTCAGCAGACCATATATGGAGCAGTATTCAATGCAAGGATGAATGGTTGATTTGTAGATTTGAAGGATGGACTTAGGCGAAAAAAAAAAAAACCTTCCGGCGCCACACACAGAACCAACTTTGCTTACGGTAGATGAAGCTATTGATTCAATCTAGTTGTTTTACTTTAGGCCAGAGGAAAGTGTTAGACTAAGCAGGCGCAGATAGACGCTCTTTGGAAATGGGCATCAGCTGTTCTGATAGGAGTCAGGAAGGGTTCTCTAAGGGGTGTAAATGAGAGCAGTTTCGTTTTGGAGGCATTAAAGTTTACAAGCCATTTCCTGCCCCAGTCAACCACAGATTGGAAGTCCTTTTCGAGACCAACGGGCAGGTTAGTTTTGTCAACAATACCGGATTTACTATTGAGACAGGAGTAAATAGTAGTGTCATCTGCGTATATGCCCACTTGGGAACTGCTGACATCAGGAAGATCGTTGAAGATCAGAAACAGTGTAGGACACCTGATGGAGCCTTGGGGAACAGCAACGTTCGTATGAGAGAAATTGGAAGAGAACCTGTTTTGGACGACCTTTATTTCACAGTAGCGCGTTATCTAGCCTGATCAACAGTCTGAACAAGGCCAGAACGCTCACAACCAAGGACGTCTCCCAAGGGTGCCGTCTACCCAATCTCACTCACGAAGCTTGGGTCAACCCGTGGTATGGTTTTCAGGCACTTTCCAAAAGTGCCGCAAGCTTGATCGATAACATCAAGAAGTCACCTTCCTGACAAATCGACCATGGTGAGATTCGAACCCGGGTTTCATGGTCAAAAAGTGAATGTGCCCATAATGTACATCTACTGAAGATATATTTTTAAAGTCGTTTATTAGTAATGAAATGAATACGACTTTGTAATTAAAATGTATTTCTCGGTGTCCTGTAACTGTTCAAATACTTATGAATTCGATGATTTTCTGTCCTTCCGACTTTGAAGAACTTCCAAAAGGATTCTCTGAAAAGTATGACAGGTATGTTTGTTTGCGCGGGAAGGGAATACATTCCTACTTGGAGGAAAACTGGATGAAGATGATACGCTAACGTTCCTTGTTCTACAGCAGTTAGGGAAATCTGTGTCTGCCCTAGTGATCGGGAATATTTTGATGAAATCCGGGTACTTACACCGAAGCACAAAAGAGCTGGCAAAAAAAAAAAAAAAAAGATTCTAAGCCAAATATATTCTACTAGATTAAAAGTCGCCCATTTGTGTGGCAATTAAGCTAGCTCCTGCGGAGAGCTCTTGATTGAACCTTCAGCTTGTTCAGGAGTTTGAGAGTCCCTAAGTTTTTGCATATTCTCAGCATTGGAAGCTCTTCTGGGTGCCGTTTGATCTGGGTTTTCATTTGGACGGGACTTTCTTTTCCCTGCTGCGGCCCTGGCTCTTTTGGTTGCAATCTGGTTCTCTGTTGACGAAGATTTATTTTTGCGAGGCAAACTACTACCGTGTGCAACAATAAACGACAGAAGAAATAAAAATTGATCGCTGCATTTAATTATATATTTAAGCTTACCTTTTAGAAGTTCAGCGATAATTCTTCTGCCGCCAATTAATTTAAAAACTGTTTGATGTGCGTAGGACCTTACTTTCCATACAAACAATTATTTTAATATCATGGGTGACTTTCGCTGGATTTCGCAATTAATTTCAATTATTTTCCAAATTTATTTCCAAGTTATAAAAAATTGTTATTGTACAAAAAATTTGTCTCAAAAAATTACGTAAAACTTACCGAAAACAATCACAGTAATGAAAACTTGGAAATCCAAAATTTCTGTAACATGAGCTATTGAAAGTTAGATGGTTATGTCCTTTTAATTGAAAACGTGTGACACTGACATTGGCTTTTATTATATCGAATAAAAAGACGAGCTATTGAGAGTTGTGTCCCTTTAATTGAAAAAGTGTGACACATTGACATTGGCATTTTATATTATAGTTGGAGATAAGCTAATGAGAGTTGTGTCCTTGTAATTGAAAAAGTGTGACACACTGATATTAGCATTTATTATATAGAAGAAGATGAGCTATTGAGAGTTGTGTCCCTTTAATTGAAAAAGAGACACTCTGACATTGGCATTTTATATTATAGGAGATTGGCATTTTATATTATAGTTGGAGATGAGCTAATGAGAGTTGTGTCCTTTTAATTGAAAAAGTGTGACACACTGACATTAGCATTTATTATATAGAAGGAGATAAGCTATTGAGAGTTGTGTCCCTTTAATTGAAAAAGGGACACTCTGATATTAGCATTTTATATTATAGGAGATGAGCTAATGAGAGCTGTGTGTCTGTAATGGAAAAAGTGTGACACACTGACATTATCATTGATCATATAGAAGAATGAGATGAACTAATAGAGTTGTCCCGTTAATTGAAAAAGTGTGATAAACTGACAATGGTATTTATTATATAGATGATATATACAAATACATACTATTCTACATTATAATATAATTATACTATACTGTACTATAAATAGTATGGAAAAATCAACAAAAGCTATTCGGAAATTCGCGTAGACAATAAACATCTTTTGTTCACCGATTCCAATTTCCGCTAATTTCACATCCAAAGTGAGATATTGTGTGACACGTACTCGAGAGAGGCTATCCAGTTTGTTCAGGGTTGCACCCTCAGCGTACAGTATATACTCGTGAATAAGCCGACTTCATGTATAGTGCGCCCCCTGAATTGTTTGACATGAATTTTAAACGCCCACAGAAAACGTTAGTGCAACCGGTCACCGAAAATGCATGATAATTAACTTCTTCAAAAAAAATTACCTATGTATAATGCGAACACGCTATTTTGGCATAAAAAAATTGATAAAAAAACCTCGCGCTATACACGAGTATATACGGCATATATTCAGTACGATATCCGATAAACTTACTTGTAAATTGATTTTATTATAAATGAGCTTCAGGTAATTCTCAAACGCTTCCTTTCTGACTTCCTTTTGTTCGGGGCCGGATTTCTTAGTGCTGAAATATTTGCCATCTTTAATGAGCTGTAAGTCATTTTCTCTTTCTGTAAAAACCTTGAATGCCTGCAAGGTATTTGACAAAAGAAAAATTACAAGCACAAGTAAACATTTTGTGCGAAAGTAATTGAAATCAATATATATATATATATATATATATATATATATATATATATATGTGTGTGTGTGTGTATTCGGAGTATATTTTTGTACATGATCAGCGCAGGATTAAAAATATTTGCCCGTTATAAGGTAACTTATGTGATCTTTTTGGAGTTTATTTTATGGTTTAAAAGATTTTTTAATTGTAGTTTTTAAATTAGAATTTTTAATGATTTGACTGCTATAAACATTTAAGAAGTTGGTTGCTATACTCATAGTTGACGTAATTCATTTTCGACCGCAATTGTCTTGTTTTTGCCTACTATTATCTAAATTACCTCGCTTGCATATCGGGTAAATATTTTGAATTTTGCGGTGATCACACGCACATATCCATAGACATTCAACCCCTGAAGATGATCTGGGAAGAGATCAGATCGAAAGTTCTTGAGGAAAATAAAAATTATATATATATATATATATATATATATATATATATATATACACATGTACATATATATATATACATGTACATATATATATATATATATATATATATACATGTACATATATATATATATATATATATATATATATATATATAATTCCTAAGAGGATAGAATATATATATATATATATATATATATATATATATCCCAAGAGGATAGAATCAGGTAGAACTCAATGTCCAGGACAGAGTAAGAATATAATATAAAAGGCTCAAACACTAATATTCCATGGTTATAATTTATTACATTGGAATCGTAATCACGATCCAATTCATCAGACCTGCAAATTCAAAAATTGAATTATATATATATATATATATATATATATATATATATATATGTGTGTGTGTATATTATATATATATGCAAAATAAAACTATCAACATCCAAGACAAATATTAGTAGATAACACCAAAATACTGTAATACTGTACAACACCCACTGCAAGGAAAGACAAAAAAACAAAAACTTAGGAGCTATTCTTATACAAAAAAAAACCCACATTAAATAAAATATCATTCACCATACCAATGCATGTGATATAATTAATGTGCGAATATTTTATATTAGTATTAAAACGTGACACATCACGTTACACTAGATCATTTTAAAGTTCCGGCTTCCCAATGTATACCGGAGAGTCGACAAAGGAATTCTAACTAAAACACAGACACCATTTTGGTTTTTGATAATAACTGCGAAAGTCGGAAGTACTTGAACAAAAAAAAAAAAAAAAAAATATATGAGTTCGAACAGTTTATCCAAAACTTCAAGCAAAATATTTATAGTTGGTGATGAATAAATAATAAATACTATATTGTTTAAAGAAGAAAACATCTGAATACTTCGCGCCTTAGCCTCTGAAACACCTTTTGTATATTCATTTGAAAATGACTACTCCTTATTGTCGAAAAGAAAACATCTCAATACTTTTTGTGTTTTAGCCTCCGAAGCATAATTTGAGTATATCCATTAAAAAAATATCATTCCTCATTGTTTAAAACAAGACATCTGAATATTTGTGCTCTTAAAAAAAAAATGATTAACGAACAGTTTTACTAAATGTTATATATAAAATGTTGTTTGCTTACATGTGCCTTTTGTTGTTTCTCCAAGTCCAGATGTTCTGCTTCTTCCTTTGTTAAGCTATCTTCATACACTGGAAGCCTGTAGGCATGCATATATATATATATATATATATATATATATATATATTGAAAATAAGAGAAATAAGAAGAAAGAAATACTAGTCAAAAAGGGATAATCATTTCAACTTGTAGCTAAATAGATCCTTATTGTTTAAAATAGAGTCGAGCACTGTTATAAAAACCTCAGAGAATTCCAGCAAGATATCTTTAATCATTTCTAATATACAACGGATCAAAGCTTAATCTAAAAATTGACATGATTTGGACAATTTGGCTTTTACACCCGGTATATATATATATATATATATATTATATATATGAAAGAAAATCATATATAAATTTTTATTTACCAGAACAATGTTAAGAAAATGATAATAACAAAAAGAGCAATAAAAACAAACAAAAAGCAACTGAATGAAATTGGCTTGGCTATATATCCAAACACACACACACATAAGACAAATTTAAAAGTTTAAACTTTCACCACCTCCTCCTCACTTGATTATTACCCGATAAAATACTAAAGGAAGACATGCGTCACACACGAATTTTTTCCTTATTTGTCATTAATTAATTTATATATATATATATATATATATTTGAAAGATAAACTCAAAGACAATCTGAAGCGATGCAGTATCCCTTTTTATTCCAGGGAAAACAAAGCGTTGAGCGAAGAAGCAGGGCACCTGTCCTGCTTCTCATCTATACAAAGGTTTGAGCGAAACCTACTTGGACATCGGGATCATCTGCGTGCAAATATTAAAGAAAGTTGGCAGCATGCTGCTACTCTCAATGATAGCCTTACCTGTTGCTGTGGCTTTGTCACACGCAGAAAAGTAAGACTATATATAAATATATATCAATATATATATATCATATATATATATATATATATATATATATAATCAATATATATATATATATATATATATATATATATATATATATATATATATATATATATATATATATATATATATATATATATATATATATATATATATATATATATATATATATATATATATATATAATCATATATATATATATATATATATATATATATATATATATATATATATATATATATATATATATATATATAATATATATATATATATATATATATATATATATATATATATATATATATAATTGAATATATATATATATATATATATATATATATATATATATATATATATATATATATGTTGAAATCAACCTCTAGATGCGACAGTCTATTTCATACTAAACGCAATCGTCAGGTCATAGTCATGTTGCCTCTGGATGTCAATTTCAGTGTCCATTTCATGTTGAAACACCAGTTCTCTTACCATCACCGAAATTAAGCAATGTCGGATCTGGTTAGTACCTAGATGGGTGACCGCTTGGGAATACAAGGTGCTGTAAATTTGGATGTGCGGGTGGTGTAATGGATAATGCCTCGGAAATGTTAAGTAGAGAGCAGAGTTCCAATTCCAGTTGGGTTCATTATATTCACTTATGTGTAAATGCTCTTGGAAAATGTATGAATCCGCCTCTTTTTCTCCCAAATAGGATTTAATTTGTAAGAGTTGTATCACTAAATCATTATCTCAAAAAAGTAGAATTCTTACAATATATGAATATTTTCTGGCTTTAAATAACCCGCAAATGGTTGATAAACCGTTAAAAAACGAATCAATAATAATAATAATATATAATAATATATAAAATATATATATTATGCACATAATATATATAATATAATGTATAATATATATATATATATATATATATATATACAATAATATATATATATATATATATATATATATATATATATTATATACATAATATATCTACAATCTATATTTCTAATGTTGTCTGTCTGTGTGTCTGTCGTGGGCGTTGTTACCTCGCTCAGGCCGCATTTCTCACCCGATTTCGATACGGTTTTCACCACAAGTTTGCAAATGGCTGTCTTAAGGACATGGCGGAGCCCGATTTTTCAGTTCGGACTCAGGTTCCGAAAAAATCGATAATGTTGTCTGTCTGTGTGTCTGTCGTGGGCGTTGTTACCTCGCCCAGGCCGCATTTCTCACCCGATTTCGATACGGTTTTCACCACAAGTTTGCAAATGGCTGCCTTAAGGACATGACGTAGCCCGAAATCAGGTTCCGAAAAAATCGATAATCGAAAAAATCGATAATCGAAAAAATCTGCTTACAGAAGGAATTATTGCATTTCAACCAAATTTGACACTCTCTTAGAGTCTACCTTTAGAAGTGTTGTCCAGAAGTTTCATGACCACGGACCCCTAGACAGCGCGAAAAATCGATAAAACTCAAAAGACGATACGCCCAGATTGCACCTGAACCGCATGTCGGTTTTTAGCGAAAACCGATCGGATTTATGATGAGGCCATTGGGAGTCACCATGTGAAGTTTCAACTCTGAGCGCCCCCAAACAGAGCGCAAATGGACAATCGGTCAACCCTTAAAAATGTTTTTCCGGTTGGGTATTTCCTAAATGCAGATTAATTTAAGGTCACGCTATGCGCGGGAAGAAAAAGGTTAGTGCGTGCAGTGTTGTATGAGTCGTACGATTTTTGAATCGGGCCATGCTTCTAGTATAATATAATAATATAGTATAATTATATAATATAATAATAATAATAATATATAATGTGTAATATATGATATATAATATATATATATTATATACATAATATATATAATATAATAATATAATATATATAGTTTAATTATATAATATAATAATAATAATATAATGCATAATCTATAATATATATATATTATATACATAATATATATAATATAATAATATATAACGTGTAATATATAATATATAATATATATATATTATATATATAATATACATAATATATATAATATAATAATGTAATAACATTATATTATAAAATATAATTATATAATAATAATAAAAAAACGAATCAATAAAATCAATGAAGAATTAAGATTCATCAGAAAATTAAAATGAGAAAACATGAACTTTTCCCGGGTATTTTTTATTTTTTTATAAATTTATGAATAATACTTTTATTTTCATAATTATTTAAAATATTTTCTTTAATAAATACTTAACTGACATATTTTCATAATCGTGTAAATGTAATATAATAAGGGGAAAAGTAAAAAAAATTATCCGCACACATAACACAAATATCTTATCGCGAAATTTCGGTTAATTTCTGATTTACCCTCGTAGATTAATTATAATATAAAATTATTCTTATTGTAAAATATTCCTATATTTTTATAACCTTCTAAATAATATTTGATACACAGTTTTTTGATTTTTTGTTGGTTTATATGTTAAACTTTTCCAAATTATGAAACGCTAAAATTATGGGTGGTGATAGAGGTTTTTTATTTGTGCCTACCTGCTAAGAAATTGTCTATTTGGGGCTTTCCTTTTTGGCGGGCATTTGAACACTGATGGAAGAAATATCACCATTTCTATTCACGTAAGGAATTTGATGTTTTCAAAGGAAGCTACTGAAGATTTTTTAATCAAATTCTGACCTTTTGATGGTCTGAGACAGACCACTCCGAAATTTCTCCAGTTCCTTCATCTTGTCTGTGTCTTCTGGAATTGACTCATCGATCTTTGGTTCTTCCAACATCAAAGACAGCATTTTTATTCGGTAAGAACTTGGCAGATCTGCAAAATATATCTTGAGAAAAACATTTGTCTAACAAACAGCAATCATTCTTATGACAACCGACGGCGAAAGTAAATATAGTAAAAAAGTTACAAAAGTTGTTTCAGCGATGGAAATGCGAATCGACGAGCTGAATTCAAATTCTGATTTAGTTTGTTGCATTCACTTTCGTTCTAATGCCGCTGGGAAAGTTATAAATACATTTCTTCTTTCGTCCCCGCCTATTCCGGGCTATAGGTTAAATTGTATGAGAAACTGGACTCTTTACCTTTGCTTTGCAGCCAGTCAAAGAGAAGAACAATCTTGAAGTTAGAAGCTAGGGAAATCAACGGAAAACTATTCCACTATATTTCCCAATAAGTCCTAGCAATTCAAAGATAAAGAAGTCAGAGAGAGGCGTGATAATTACACTCTGAAGGGATTACGGCATCAAAAATAATTCAGCAGACGATATTTTATTTATAGTAACTAGATTTTTTCAGCTTAATCTGTTTTTCTCTCTCTCTCCACTTCTATTTTCGCTTCTTTCTTTCTTACTGTCGTTTTCTCATTAAAATCAAGAATATCTTTTCTTTTCTTTCTATGCGATGAAAACGCAATAGTCCATTATTTATGAGGTATTAAACACTTTTATATTCTCTTCTTTCTTTCTTTCTTTCTTTCTTTCTTTGTAACCAGATTCACTTCTTACGTGCATTTCTCTTAATGATAATAATGATTAAAAAATAATTCTGTAGACGATGTTAATTTATTTATAGTAACTGGATTTTTGACAATTGCCTTACTCAGTTTCCGTCGTTCGTTACTGTGCGTCTGAAAAATGATCTTGTCGCTCGCATTGATATATATACATATATATATATACATTATATATATATATATATATATATATATATATATATATATAAATATATATACATATATAATGGATTATCCCTCGATGTCAATATGTGACAATTTGGCCCCCTCACGGGAGTCTGAAACGCATGATGTTCCTCACACGCTTATCCATAGCCAGACTGTTGTCCTTCATGGAGATACGCTATCTTACCATGTCACATCAACTCAAGGTGAAGATGTGACAAAGACTGACAAAGGAGGTGAAATGAACCAGTTTGTTACGTGTGAAAGGGGCACTAAACTTGCCTTTTTTTTAGCATCTGTGTGTCGTTATGAGAACAGGCTCTGACTCTCCCTCGGGTTTCGAACAGCCTGAAATGAAACCTGTTGTGTGATCCGTCCTCTCCCACTCCCGCTGTTCATACCCTGCCCCCCTCCCTTGCATGTTAGCATTTATAGTAAAAAATAATGAACTGCAGTTAGTATATAGTGATAGTTGAAGGACGAAAGAGACGGACGAAAAGAATATTGGTCGTATCCATGAGATGAATGAGGGAGAAGTTTTATTTTTAGTACTAGATTTTGAAGGGCAAGCCCTTCCCCCCAGCCTCCTTTCCTTCCGGTTCTGTGCCGAATTGATGCACTTATATTTGTCAATAAACATGAAGATCAAAATGTAGTATCTGTTCTTATCAGTTTAATCTGAGTGTTTCTCTCCACTTCTATTTTCGCTTTTTTCATTCTGTCGTTTTCTCACTGAAATCAAGAATATCTTTTCCCCTCATTATTATCTCCACCCAAAATTCTTACAATCCAAAAGTATTTTTTGGCTTTAAATAACCTGCAAAAGCCGTAGAAAACGAATCAATTAATTAATAAAATACTGATTAGCTACACAGGCATGTCTTTTAGATTTATTTAAATTCTCTGGAATATAAATGTATAGAAACTACCGTGGCCACTAAGTGAGGGATCAGTTTATATATCAGTTGTAATATACAATTGATCCCCCACTTTATATCCGCATTATAATTTCTTGTGTGTTTATCATATTCTGATTATGAATCCACTTCATATCCCTGCCAGCCTGCAGTTAATTATATCTTGATATATAATATATTAAAACTTGTATCATTAAATCATTATCTCAAAAAAAAAAAAAATTACGATCTAAAAATATTTTCTGGTTTTAAATAACCGGCAAAAGGTTGATAAGCCGTAGAAAACAAATCGATGAAGAATTAAGATTCATCAGAAAATTCAAATAAGAAAAACCTGAAATTTTCATGGGTATTTTTAGTTTTTATAATTCTTTCATTCCCATTGGTTCCAGCTCAATCAATCAGTGCCACACACGATATAATCACGTGACATCTTCCTGACCAATAAAAACAAACGTCATGGAATTCAAAATAACGTATTCCGTCATTTCCCAAAAATATATAATAAAATAGAAATATATTAAACTTATAAACGTTTTCCTATTGTATTTATATTCGGACTATGTTCCTCATCTTTGTTGTTGATATCACAACGTTTCGGCGGTTGTACCCTCCGGCCTGCCTTCATCAGGTTTATATCGATCCAGGTAACCTACAGCGAATTCCGGACTGAAAGCTTTATTTAATCTACGCGTGTAGACTGTTCTCAATCCCCTGCCCATGTCCAGGGACATCCCATCTAGTTCTTATTTTTAGTATCACTCAGTTATTGCTCACCCGGTTTCCACTGAGTCCAAGTACACACTGCCTGGCCCGGGGATTGAATTCAGAATTACTATGTTACTAAATTCATGAACCAATGCTTTAAACCACCAGGCTTTTGTACTTTGTTTTCTGTGGATAACGTGGAACCTTAAAGCAATATTTCTGTGGATAAAGGTAATTCTTTTTTTAATTCATCTTCTTTGCACAGGAATAGTTTATATCTTCCTGGTCAAAATTTGAAAGCAGACACGGAAAAAAAGTACAAAATCTCCTGCAGGAGGTAGTGAAGGAAGCTGAGAAGAAAAGATTAAACATTAACTGTAAGAAGACAGAATGTATAATTGTTAGCAAAAGATGAGCCTAACATGCAAATTACAAATCAGAGATAGCAAAAGCAAACAAGCACAACAATTAAAATATCTGGGAAGCGTTTAAAGTGCGACACTAAAATCCGAAGACAAATTGGGATAGCGAAAGATGCCTTCCAAAAGATAAGCAGAGTATTAAGAAACAGAAAAATTTTGAAAGAAACAAAGAAAAGAGTACTGAACCGTTATGTGATATCTGTCTTCCTATATGTCAGAGAATGCTGGACGATTTCTTTAGTAAATAAAGTTCTGTTTGAGTCGAGGAGAAATAACGAAACAGTACTGTTATGTGATATCTGTCCTTTATGGCAGTGAATGCTGAACAATTTCTTTAGCAAATAAAGTTGTATTTGAGTCTAGTAGAAATAAAGTAAACAGTACTGAACTGTTACATGATAGCTGTCCTCTTCTATGACCGTCAATGCTGGACAATCTCCTCAAAGATAATGTAGTGTCTTGAAGCAATAAAAATGTCGTTCTACGAAAAGATACTGAGGATACCATGGACCGAACATGTGAGCAACGATGAAGTTTTTTAAAAAAATGTAATTAAAAAGAAAACAAACTTAACAACAGAAAGAAACAGTTGACATTTCTAGGGCACATAATGAAGAAAGAAGGCTTAGGAAATCTGATACTCACAGGACTGATTGAATGCAAGAGGGACGGCGGAAAACAACGCATAATCCGTTTAGTGAGCTTGAGTAAATGGATGGAAGAACAGAGTTTATGGGAAATAACAAAGAAAATGACTTATTAATAGCTACAAAGGACAGAAAGTTGTGGAGAGCCATGACCGCTTCCGTCTTGAAGGAACACGCCACAAGAAGAAGAAGAAGAAGAAGAAGAAGAAGAAGAATGAGCTTGAGTCAATAGATCACGGATCAGGGTTTAGGAGAAATAACAAAAAATAAATATAATCTATTAAAAGCTGCGAAGGACAGGAAGTCGTGGAGAGCCATGATCGCCTACGTTCTGAGGGGATATGCCAAATAAAAAAGAAATGGTGTAAATAATGAAAACTCCTCATGCCAAAATTTAGACAGAAAGTTTTACCATTTGTTCCTTACTAAATCATTTATAATATTTTGTGGGTGCAGAATTTACCACGGATTGAAGTGCATTGACAAGGAAGAAATGGCGTAGAAAAATCAATATTTGTTGTTTGTTTACAATAAATAATAAATAGATAACATTTATGCTCATTATTCTGTGGAGTTATTGTTTTAGATCCGTAAACACACACACACACACACACACACACACACACACACACACACACACACACACACACACACACACACATGTACTGTGCTACATATTGAAAATGAACTGTTTAATTAAATCAGATTATTTTCACTTATGTAATTCCGCAATTTTTTTCGGCCCCATTCGACTAAACTTTAGTAATTTGATATGGCAGACGACACCAACGGTTACTATGAACGCCGCAAGAAATAAAATCGCAACTAACGTTGTTGGGACGAAAATCATAAAATTTTATATAAATTTTATATATGTTTGGGATTTTTTTGTGTTCATTTCTTAAAAACAAATACGTTTACTTTTAGAAACAAAAATTACATTTATTTTACCGTTTCTTTAAAAGTAAACATACTGATATTTTTCTGTTAACTTCTGATTAAATTTTGACAAGGTAGATATAAACTGTTTTTGTGCAAAGATGATGAATTAAAAAACAAATCTATAGCGTCAGAAGCATTGCTTATATATGGCAAGAGATTTTCTTAGCAACAAAGAGGATTATTTACGAAATCAGGTTACTCACAGGCCATATACGGAATATGGTAAAGCTGGAATCCGATTCCAATCAACAAGTCTCCCTTGTTACCATAGAAACAGAGACTGGTGGGACAGGCCGCAAGCTGGAGAGTTCTAAAAGGAAAGAGATGCGTAAGTGATTGTTTCAGTGTGAGCTTTATACGAATAATGTCATATTAAAACAAAAGATCTTTTGTTTAGTCATTAGTTTTAATCTGTCAAAAGGCCGAATGTAGGTGAGTTTCTCCCACATATATGCCTTAAGAATGCGTAACCAATACTTGCCTTCAATCCTTTTTTGGAACACTGACCACTAAACAAACCCAATACAAGACCCAAGAGTCACTCAAGGTAGGAGGCTATTAATGAGGTTGTTGTAAGGGACCGGGGAAGTACTCCTTTGAGAGTCTGTTCCACAAAGTGACAGTTCTTTAGTGGAACTTACTCCTTATCAATGGAATATGAAGGGGAAGAGGATGGTTCATTCCCCGGATACATGGCATGGTGGGTCCTAGCTCTGAAGGTTTGAACTGGTGGAACTTAAGAATGTAGCTCGGCTGAACATTTGAGGCTTACGGCCACATCTCGTTGAAACATCGGTTCCCATAGGATCTCCGAAGTTAAGCAACGTTGGATCTGGTCAATACCGAGATAAGTGACCGCTTGGAAATATCAGGTGCTGTAGGCTTGGATGTCCGGGCGGTGCAATGGATAATGTCTCGGAATTGTTAATCGGAAAGTCGAGTTCCGATTCCCATTGGGTTCATTATATTCACATACAGTAAATGTACCAACCATTATGGGACAGAGGTAGTAGTCTAATATATTGCAATCAATTTCTATGGGAACACTGTAGCATATCAGGATTAAAGAGAATCAGCTTAGAACTAGCAGCAATCCTTCCAATTTGGGATTGGAATTATTTATTACTACCTCTGTCCCATAATAGTTGGTACATTTGCATACACATTTCATACACTAAATGTACCAATCATTATGGGACAGAGGTAGTCTAATATATTGCAATCAATTTCTATGGGAACACTGTAGCATATCAGGATTAAAGAGAATCAGCTTAGAACTAGCAGCAATCCTTCCAATTTGGCATTGGAATTATTTATTACTACCTATGTCCCATATCAGTTGGTACATTTGCATACACATTTCATACACTAAATGTACCAACCATTATGGGACAGAGGTAGTCTAATATATTGCAATCAATTTCTATGGGAACACTGTAGCATATCAGGATTAAATAGTTTCTGATCACGACTCCCCTTTGCTATTATAGTCATTGGGCATCACCTGTAATACAGACATAGAAGCAGTTTTTGTGTCTATGTTAAGAAAACCTGACGTAGCTCATCCCTCGTTAGGCTGGTTTTGAATTCGAAGATTTTCCGTCGCCTTGGATTGTTGCTCAATCAAGGCTAAAGAATCCCATCTGCCTTTCTATTTAATCATCAGCTGAGTACTGGAGGAGAAGAAATGGATTCATGCCTTTCTCAAAGTTATTTCTGCGAAAGTGATCACAATGACATCTACCTGAATTCGAACTGGCCACGCCAGTCCCACTATTCGCGCCGGTTCCTTTTGTATTGGGGATGCTATGGGTACCCCGTCTCTCCTCTCAGAAGTTAAAGAGGCAAGACCTACAAGGCAGCAGCTGGTTGGAATTCAGAGATTTTCCTTCTCCTAGACTAACCATGGTATATACATGCCAACCACCCCCGCCCACCTCACGGTCGTACCAACAATACAGGGTATTAGATTTGGGGGTGGCTTGGCTGCAGGAGTTGCCGGAAAGTTGTCGGTGTTGACAATCGAGATTTACCTCCATAGCCTTTTCCGTGTTTTCGATATGACTGCAAAGCAGCGAAGTATCTGTCTATATTTCTAAGATGAGGTATTATGTACACTATTTACATTATTCGGACTATTGTCCTCATCTTTGTCGCCATATTTATTACAACGTTTCGGCCGTTGTACGCTCCGGCCTTCTTCAGGTGTTTGGAATGTCGAATGTTGAACCCTTTATTTCGCTCACTGGGGTTCCATGTGCCATGTTTAATGGAAGTCAGTTATCAGTTATCTCATTTTAATTCCCCTCTGAAAGTTCTCTACCACCTTAACTGGGTCTTAGGGTCTTGTCACTGGATCTAACTTACTCCTTTATCCACTGTGCCATGTGTCCTTGACATCTGTGTATGAATTTCTGGGTATTATAAACCTAATGTCTTCAGCAACAATTTTTTTACCAGTGCTCATATTGCAATTTTTGCTGTTATCATTACATGTTTTTACCAGAGCTCATATTGCAGTTTGTGTTGTTGCTTTTCTCTGGCACTCCATATTACTGGTTCCCATATTGTATTCATTTCTATGCTTGGTCGGCTCAATGTGCTGATCCCTTAAATTTACGAATTTTTCAATGGTGTCCTTTGTCTATGATCTCAACCCGGTCCCACAGAGGGCGGTGATCTCCCTTTTAAGATTTAAAATCAGGATTTTTCTTCCCCTAAATAGACTGCCTTCCTAGGCTGTTAAGCTCCATCTACTCGAAGATGCTGGTTATGAGGCACCAGTTGTTCCCTTTCACCCATTCTCCAGGTTGAAGCTGAACTTAGTTGTCATAGGCAAGCATATTATAGACAGTGGAAGTTTGTCCCCATTCTCACCCCTGGCTATGGCAATTTTTGGAACATAATGTACATATATAAATATTTATATACATTAAGCTCCCCACCCAAATTAACATTTTTTTTTTAAATATATAAAACGTTAGGTAAAAACAAGAAAGCAAGAGAAATTACGAAATAGTACATAAATAAACAAACACAAATATCGAAAAGTTTGTTAATTTTAGAAAAAGATAGAAGATAGATATAAGGATTTAAGCCTAAAATAGCGTGAGATTATGAAGTCACTATTAAACATACAATAAAATCATTTATACTGCCTTTTTGATAGTTACTAACACCTAAACTATCAACTGACCAAAATGAACGGGAGTAGAATATGCTAAGTTGATAGATATAACTTTAGGTAAGCAAAAACAGAGAGTAAAAATAAGACAAACGATCGCCATGTTTGTTTTACAAAAACAAATAAATACTAATACAGAAACACCCGGTAATTGTCGAAAAAGTTGAAAGAAATAATAAACAATACGTATATAATTTCAAATAAATATAATAATCATGATATATATAATAAATATATAATAAGTATCAGCAGAAAAACACCTTGAAGAGGACAGAAATTGATCTGGTCAGTTGGGAGGTCGAAGCTGCAGAAAAAAAAAATTGGAGAAAAGCAGGCCACGAAAAAGCAACATCCTTCGAAAATACCAGACGGCAAATAGAAGAGAAGAAGAGACCCCCCCCCATCCAAAAAAGCCAGAGCTCTCCGTCTCCTGAACACTCCTACACTACCCACGGCACTGGCTGCAGACGTCTTCAGATAAAACATCGGGCTCATTTCACACAGAAAGAAATGTCGACGAGCACCCCAATATTTAGCAAAGAGTTCCAAATGACGACAATATAATAAATGAAATAAAATAAATAATATTTTTAAATTATATTAAATTATTATATTACTTTTTTAAGATAGCAATAAATCCATTTTTCAGTTAAACTTAAAATCTGTTCATTTTTGGTGGGAGCATCGATAAAACGCGTCAGCCTTCCTTGATGTCAGAATACTTTTTATTAATGGACATCATTTCTTTTTTGTTTAAATTAACGAAATTCGGCAAGTAATAAAAGAGGAAATTAGTAATAAATGGGGAGTTTAATAATAAAGGGGACATTAGTAATAAAAGCAGAATTCGTAATAAAAGGGGAGATAAGTAATAAAAAGGGAAGTTTCGTAATAAAGGGGAGATTAGTAATAAAAGCAGAGATTCGTAATAAAAAGGGAAATTCGAAATAAAAGGGGAGATTCGTAATAAAAGGGGAGATTTGTAATAAAATGAGAAATTCATAATAAAAGTAGAGATTCGTGATAAAAGGAGAGATTAAAATGAAGTAATGGTAAAGATTCTTTTATCATGAAGCAGTGATTTTCCTTACTTGATCAAATCATTTGTTTCATTCCAGAACTTAAGTGTGCCATCTTGACTTGCAGAAGCAAAAATATTCATTGTTGAGCAAGTGGCGAAAGCGACGACGCTATCCAAGTGATCAACCTCGGGAGAATGATCGAAGCGATCTACAAAAGTATTCAAAGCAAAACATTTAAACATTATTAATATACATGATATAACAGTATATATTTGTTTTACTATCTTGTTATATACCGTGCCTATGGACATTAATGGGTATGTCCCAATCTTCATAAATACGTTGTACACTATTATATTTAACGCCTTCCCCACGTGTGTCGTATGTGGCACAAGGCCGAATTTATCGTGGCTTCTCCGAGCCCGTAGGCTTGGCCAAAAATATTCACTTCGAACCCGTATAAACGGGTCCAGGGCCTGTCTACCTTCCGATTCAGAGTTTGACAGTAATGAACGGTTTGGACACTATTGTTAGTGGTGGTGGTGGTGGGGTTTGGGTAATATGCCGTCTAAGTAGTCCACCACTAGCAGTGATTTACCTACTTCACGCCGCTGGCGAGTATTTTATTTTGTTGATGTTATAAAGATTACCATTTTCTTTCCAACCTCCGTTTTGATTATTCCTCATTCAGTAACCCTTTCTGGGTTGCAACATATCTCTCACGGATAATCTGTGAAGTAGACGCGTGTGTATCGATATTTAACAGTTATAGCCGTAAATTTCTCGCTTGTAAGCCACGTTCCCAACAGATTTGCCCACCATCCCATAAATGAAAGGATATTATTTTATTGTATCTGTTGTAACCTAAAAAGGGTTACTGAATGAGGAATAACCAAAACAGAGGTTGGAAAGGAAATTCCTACCTGAATTTGCCAAGTCATAAGCCACAATGCTGAAGTTGAGAGTATTATGGTCTTGAAATGCTACGCAAAGCAAGTTCTTCATAACTGTCAATTGAGTAGGCGTGCAGGAACAGTAGAAGGACATCAATGGAACCAAACACTCGGCCGCGAAAGGATAAAAACGCCAGATTTTGATAACATGATCTGCAAACAAGATTTTATAGAAAATCTCAGTAAATTAAAGGTTTTAACAATTGAATATCGGTTTAACATTTAAATCATGTCACTGTGTCTAAATGAGGCACCTAAATCTTATCTGAAACCATTGTTTCTCAACCTTTCTTTTTTTTTTTACTTCTTTTAGAATAACTAAAACACTGGGACGCACATTATATTTTAAAATTTAATTGCGCTCTTTAAATTGTTTGGACTGTTGTCCTCATCTTTATTGTCATATTCACGACGTTTCCGCCGTTGTACGCTCCGGTCTTCTTCAGGTCATATACGTTGGAATTTCGAACCGAAACCTCGTGAATATGACAATAAAGATTGGGACAATAGTGTAAATAGTTACAATACATCATCTCAGAAATATAGATAGATGTTGAACGAAAAATTCGTAACAAAATTTGAAAATATTAAATTTTGGTTTGCCATTCTCCAAAAACATTAGCGGTACCGTTTTCATTTAAAGGGATTTCTGAAGAATCTGATATTTTTTAGAGGCCGATTTTAGAGTTCCCGTTGAGAATGATTATGCGTAAGACTCTTTTCGTTCTCTTTTCACACTGCTTGTTGTTGCATATATTTTCTCTTCGTGTGATACATGTAAATATAATTTTGTGTATGACTTAGTGGTATAAAACTCTCTCTGAGAACAAATCATGCTTGTCATTCATTTTCTTTCAGCTGTTCCATTCAGCCCGTGAAATAAGTTATTATTCTATCATACCAATTATTAATAATGCTAATAATAGGGGAAATGCAAAGGGGAGAATATTCATTTCTTCCATTACTTATTAGAGAAAAGTGATATCTTCGTTGATGCGACTACACCCCACTTTGGTCTATTGAGGTCCGAGAGGAATACGTGTCATACAAAAAACATTTTCCCTAAAATTGTTCTTGATATATAAAAATGTATATATAGTTTTTCTATATCATATTGTCTCCGAGTCACTTAAACATTATCTCTAAGACATATCATATCATTATTTCTGAGACACTTAAATTGTAAGATTATCCCTGTGAAGTTTAAATCATATCACTATCACTGAGGAACGTAAAAGTTAACGACTCTTAAATTACCGTATGTACCCGTGTATAATACGACTTATAGTGCGACCTTTGACCTTTTGTGAAAAACCTGAATTTTTCATATAGTTTATGTATAATGTGACTCCAGCTTCTGAGCAATACTAGTAGGCCCAACGTTGAAGTACTGGGCATATGTTATAACAAATAAATGATTTGAATTCTTTTTTGTACAAAGCTACCCTCAAAATGGTGATAAAAACCGCGGTCACCAAAATGCATGAATTTTGACACCTTTAGAAACATTTTAGAGCATAGTGAAACAGATCACCGAAAATGCATTATTTTTAACCTCTTCAAAAAAATTACCTGTGTGTAGTGTGACCTCCTATTTTGTTTACGTAAAAACTGCTCATAAAAACTCGTACTATACATGGGTATATACGGTATATGATTATCTTTTAATAAATACTTATGTCAGTAACTCTGAGACACATGAATCATATCATTATCACTGAGACATTAAACATCGTATCGATATCTATGAAATAAACCATATCGAGATACTTAAATCATATCAATATCTCTAAGACAAATTATATCAATATTGTGCAGAAAGACGATCGACCTTCTCTACACTAATTGTTAAACATGGACTCGCCCATCCACTATAAGTAGAACGTCTACTCATAGGAACGGTCGTCGTAAAGTGGGTCGCAAGGCGTAGCGATTGAGTCATACGCATTGCCGCACTGATCTACGGTATTTCTTATTATTGTATTATTAATTCATGTCTCTCATATAATTAAACCTGTTCTTTACTCGACCATTTGGTCCAGTGTTTCTTTACAGTATTATTAACCAAAACTACGAGAGTTCTACGAACTTTGTAAAACAAAGAAAAGAGTCCTGAAATGGTATTGTCCTATCAATCCTCTTGTATGGTAGTGGATACTGGACAAACACCTCACAGATGAAAAGATAACAGAAATTTTGGTCTACAGAAGGATGTTGAGAATTCCATGGACGGAACGAGTCAGTAACGAAGAAGTCTTCAGGGAAATTGAAACAAAAAGACACTTATACTTAGAACCAGCAAAAGACAGTTGAAATTTCCTGGACACAATGTGTCAATCATAGAATTTATCAATCATAGAATTTGGCAATGTGCTAAAAAACAAGAAAATTTTGTCAACAACAAATTGCTTAGAAAGACGACCGACCTTCTCTACACTAATTGTTAAACATAGACTCGCCCATCCACTATGAGTAGAATGTCTGCTCATAGGAACGGTCGTCGTAAAGTGGGCCGTAAAGCTGTTGTAATAACAAAAGCTTTATAAGACGTTCGTCGAGTGAAATAAACCTGTTCTTCACTCATCCTTTTGTACTGTTATTTCTTTACAGTATTATTAACCAAAACTACAAGCGTTCTACGAACCTTATAACAGTCAAGAACTCTTAGATGATCCATATTGATATCTCTGGAATACTTAAGTCATAACATTATCTCCAAATTTTTATATTTCTTTTTATTTCTCCGAATCTCTCAAGTTTTACAAGTTTGATGAATTAAATGATTACCTCTGCCGCTTGAAATCACTTGGTCAAAGCGCACATTCGTTACCAGTGACAACACCTCTGAACCATTGTGAGCCTGTAAAGAAATAGCTTCCAATAATTTATTAGGTTATTTATTTTAACCTTACCATCATCTGTTACTCAAGATCATATATAATTATGGCATTCTCTGTTTCTTTTCATTAAAGTAAATTGAATCATCCTAAATAATGAAAGATTTCTGTCTATAGCACTGAGATGACGTATTATGATTACTTACATTATTTACATTATTCAGGCTGTTATCCTCATCTTCATTGCCATATTTACAACGTTTCGACCCTTGTACGCCCCGGCCTTCTTGAGGTGATTAGAATTTTCGTTGTACAATCACCTGAAGAAGGCCAGAGCGTACAACGTTGTGAATATGGCAATGAAGATGAAGTCCGAATAACGTAAATAATTTAAGTAATGTAAGATTTATTGAGAATACTTTCAAATCATGTTGACGCCTCTGATTTACACAATAACAAAAGCTTTATAAGACGTTCGTCGTGAGAAATATCCTACAATTAAACCCAAGTTACTTACGGATTGACTTCAACTCTATACTTCTAACGTCTCAGCCTAAAACTTTTATTTATAATTGATTTGCTTTTGTTTTCCTTAATAGGAGTAGACAGGTTCGCTTATCGTCCGGTTCACAATCCTCCCCGGTCTTTGAACAGGAGTAAAGGTTTATCCCTTGTTTCCTGTTTAAGATTGTGTTTCTGATTCCTTTTAAAGTCTACTTCAACTTTATACTTCTAACACCTTCGCCTAAACTCTGAACTTTTATTTACTTTTGATTTGCTTTTTTTTCTCAATGAGAATAGATAGGCTCACACTCCTCCCCAGTCTTTTGAACAGGTGTAGATGTTTATCTCTTTTTTTCTGTTTGGGGTTGGGTTTCCGGTTCCTTCTAAAGCCTCTTCTTTGACTTTTACATCCGGTTGCCCCCTGCGACTTGGTGGCATTATCTCCTTGCTTGGGTTGGTGCCTCTTATTCTGTAATCCTCTAGCTCTAGTGGCTCTTGGGCCTTGTGCAGGTAAATATTATTGTAAAAAAAATAAACAATTTTAATCTTTTTTTTTTCTATCGAAATGACGTCGTTCAGTGGGTTTCATTTTTCGTAATCAAACATCGATTTACTTCAAATCGATGTACTTTAATCATTTCCAGCTCTTGTGCCTAACAGGATGGTTGCAGATGTTATTTATGAGGTATTAGTGGATTTTATTTTCATTCTAATATTATTTATTAATACGCAGTACTATATCTTAGTGGATACCCAGTTTGTTTGTTTTTTTATTGCGGTGTGAATTACGTCTAACGGTCTGCGCATTCGAGTGCCGTAATACGCTCTTGGGACACTGGATCTACAGAATCACAAAGAACAGTACCAAATAACAGAAACCTCATCACCTGAGGACTTTCAACAGCGGCAACAACTAAAATGGATAGCACATATAACTCGAATAAAGAATAATAACATAATCAAGATGTCGACGTTCTCCAATATATCAAACAAAAGGTTAGGAAGGAAACCTCCATCAATATTGGTAAGATCGATAGCTGTACATGGGCTTGATAAACCTATCCTCCTGAAAAACTGTTTTCATAGAAAAATTTTATAAATTTCAATCAGTAGTATCACTGGCTTTTCATTAAACAAATGCCGAATATTTCCTTATAAGGAAACGGCTAATATTACCATTACCATTGGCTATTACTGAATATTTATTGGTTCATTAGGTCCTGGGGCCAGCCAATAGCATAACTTCCTCGTGGTGTGCGTATGCGGTCGGGTGCTAGCATCATCTTCTACGCGCCGCGTCTCTTCAGGACATGGGTCTCTAAACCATCCTATTCATTGTGATCCTTGGCAGTTTGTCTCCCTTTCCTAGGACTCCTGCCACCCGTTCCATCATCCATTCATATAAGCTCGCCAGGTAGGTGGCTCACTGCCTTCACTGATCTTTCTTGGTCTCAATATGCCCTGTGAGGGTTAAGTTTTCCAAGCCCTCCTTCCTTGTTATGTGTCCAAGGAATTTCAGCCTTCTCTTTCTGATTCTGAATTATAAGTGTCTCTTTTGATGTCATTTTCCTTAAGATTTCGTTGCTTACTCGCTTCGTCCATGTAATTCTCAGCATCCTTCTGCATAACTACATTTCAGTTGTCTCCAGTTTTCTTTCATTTCTGTGAGGCATTCATTGCCATGCATAACAGTTCAGCACTCTTCTTTGTTCCAAATGAAATTCTCATGTTTTTAGCACTTCAGTCGGAGTGGGTTGATTTAAAATTCAACAGACTCGAACGGCTCTAATATATATATATATATATATATATATATATATATATATATATATATATATATATATATATATTAGTTAGATAGATGGAGAGAGAGAAAATTAATACAAGTGAATGGTTTTTCATTTAGCTGATTGATGTTACCTTCAGTATCCCGACTCTAGTGCGTCGTGTAGAATGTCATGGTTATTTGCCTCTTTTCATCGTTTTTTTTTTCATTTTACTCTTATTCATTATTGTTTATTTTTAACCTTTTTTCTCTTTTCTTTCAGTTGTAGCCATTTTGACTGACGGTTTTCCAGACATATACTGTTGTTGTTAATTGTTGAGCGTTCTCGGATCTGATAAGATAATTTAATTTATTGCTCCTCTTTTTCCGGTTTTCGGGCACATCACAATTAAACACCGAAGGAACACTGAAATTAAGCAACGTCGAGCCTGGTCAGTACTTAGATAGGTGACCGCTTGGGAATACAAGGTACTATAAACTTGGATGTGCGGGTTGTGTAAAGAATTGTAACTTAGAGAGCCGATTTCCAATGCCCGTTGGGTTCGTCATATTCACTTACGCACAAATACCCCAGGGGAAAAGTATGAAGCCACGTCTTCTCCTCCCAGCTACGGGTTAATTAGTAAAACTTGTATCATTGAGCAATTATTATTTAAAAAAAAAAAATTTATACAATCTAAAATATTTTCTGGCTTTAAATAACCTGTAAAGGGGTTGAGAAATAAGACGAATCACTCAAATCAAATAACTATTTTCCTTAAACATAGTTTTAACTTTGATTCCAGACTGACGATGCCAAACTGAACACACATCACGTCGGAGAAACGCGTCGTTTAGAAACGTTTCCGCTTTGATTATATATATATATTATATATATATATATTATATACTTATTTAATAGGTCCTTTTAAAAAACTATAATAACATTTTGTGCTCTCTATAAAGCTTTTATTTCTTTGGATTTTTTGTCAATATGAGCCAAATTCAGACTAACTAATTTGACTACACTACCATGTTCAGGGAGAAAGCGTTTTAAGCTAGACTATATCGGACGTTCTTCGTTAAATCTTACTTGTATTTGGATATTTGGGTGTCCAGTCTGCCAGTCGAGGGCACAGATTTGTCCATTGGATGTGCCACCAATTAGAATTGTCCGATTGGTGTTTTTCGGTGTGGTCAGCACTCCGCTCTCGACAGACTGGGTGGTCAAGTTCTTCATGAAGTTGCTCATTTCTTTCGTTTTTATATTACTGGCTACGTGTTCGTATAAGACAAGACAGTTGAAGCCTCCTGCAAATAAAACAAAATAGTGAAGACATCAGGCATAGTGCCACAAAACAAAACTTCGGTTTAAAAGTCAGATTTTAATTGATAAAGATAAAATAGGAAAAAAATAGGAAAAAAAATGGCACAAGTGAAAAAATAGGAAAAAAAAAGAAAAAAAAGAAAAGAAAATTGAAATTTTTTAATATATGTTAAAAAAAAAATTCAAATCAATTATTTTTTGTGAGAGAGCTATTTCCGGACGCTTCTATTTCGCTTAGGAAGAGTTAAGGGAAATAAAATCAAAATGACCCAATACAAATGTTGTCAATCATAATTTTCTCTAGAATTAAATAGACATTTATACTCTTTAAAATGCATTTTCTTTCAAAACGGAAAAAGAAAAACTTACTTCCTTCTTCGTATTGCCAAGTGTCGATTACGCTGCATGGATGACTTTTCGTGGAAGCTTTTATAATTGTTGCATCACTAAGAGATACAAAAATGATTTCTGCAACAAAAGAATAAAGTTTGTTTAATTCACTCAGTTTTTTAAAAATATAACGATTAACGAACCAAATTACGTATTAGTTCAGTTAAATAAATAAATAAATGAGGTGAAAAAGTCAGGTGTGGTCGGTTAATCTAATAACAAACATTGTTGAATTATTTAATGCCAAGTACGGGTTTGTTAGAGAAAAAGATCACATTGAATTAACGGTAGGGTAGACATAGTTACGGTTCAGCATTAAACAAAAGGGTAGGCATATGAGGGTCGGTTGAAATATTCGTCGTTAGACAAAGATATAAATATAAGTAGACACATCAGTTGGTAGACTAAGAGACATGCAGGACACCTCGGCGTGTAATGGTTAGCAAGCTTGTCTTGCTAGAACAATTACGACTTGGTGCCCCATAATTGTGGTATTGTGCCACATCTAAGCTACGCTTGGAAAATCTCTAAAAGACATGCCAGAAATTCAACGGCTGGTCGGCTGGAGTAAAAAAAAAAACTGACATGGGTAAGGTTTAAGCTAGTGTAAAAAAATGACTGATATTTTACGGTTACAGTTTACATTAGTGTAAAAAAGGCTGACATAAGTACAGTTTACACTAGAATAAAAAGACTGATATTGGTTCGGTTTCGTTTGCACTAGAATAACCAAAGACTGACATGAATACGATTGACACTAGTGAAAAAAAAAAGGCTGACATAAGTACGGTTCATACTAGTGTGAAAAAAAAAGTTGGCATAGATGCAGTTTTCTTGGGAGTAAAAAAGGTTGACATCTTAATTTGCGCTCTTCCAGGGCAGAGGAAGCTACCTTTAGATCCGGAACGCTCTAACCAATTTAGCTACAGAGAACGCTCAGGCAGGGGCGAAATTGTGACTTTAAGCGAAACTTCTCTCGTCATAGATCTCTCGAAATGTTTCATATCTGCACAGTTCCGTATCCAAACATAGACAAGGCAATTTTTCTCAAGAAAGTAATGCATTTTTTTTAATTGAATTCTACCGGAGAGAGCACTTATTTTTCTTTAATAAGACATTCAGGCCGGTAGATGAAAATAAATTAATATACTGTTTAATAAATAAACGGAGCGTCTATTCAAATACGAGTATCCGCTAAAACGAAATAATGTTTAAAGTATTTTAAAGCGATAAAAATAGTCAACTGCTTAACTAATTATTGCGAGCACCCTGAATCCCATCACTGCAGGTGTTTTTCTATCTGTTGTAATCGCAGAAATCGAATCCAATATTTAAGAAAGAAAAAAACAAAGATCTTCTCTTAGTTAATTTCCAGATGCGTAATCTCCTGCACACAAGAGAAAACATTTCCACTTGCATCTCTGTAAGTCTTCAGCTTTGGGTTCTATACTCGGAAACGAAATGGAGGGTCGACTTCCTTCTGGCACCTCACAGTGAGTTAGCACAATAGAGTCAAGTGGACATTTGTTGTTTTTAAGTCACTTAAATGATTTTCGCCCGACAGACTGGGTCCTATAGCCTTGAGTGGCAACCAGTCTAGGGGAAGGAAACTTTGAATTCAAACCAAACTGCTGCCTCTTTAGGTAAAGGCTAGAAGAAGGTAACTTCAAAAACAAATTCACTTCGCAGAGAGGAGGGACGGGGGTAACCTTAAGATCCTCAGTGTAAGAGGAACCGGCAAGCCATTGCACCATTTTGCCCTGAATATCACCATGAATCTCAATTACGAGATGGAGGAAAATGATGACCACAGCGGCGCAAAATGCGCCGAGTAAAATGAATGAAATGACTCTCAGTTCAATTATGGAACTTTATTAATGTGATTTCTACTTAAGAAGATTTTAAACAAAACTTTGAGATTTCGAATTTAAAAATAGTTCTTTAAGTCTAGAAAAAAATTTTCTTTAGACTTTGGAGAGACATTCAGTGCAAACTATGGATCCATCTCTGATATTTTTACAATCGAACGCAGAATACGCTTTGCAGGACACTGTTGGTGAGCAAAACAAGAACTTACAAGTGATCCACTTTTCTGGACACCTAGCCATGGCGCAAAGCGGGCTGATCGCCGAGCAACCAACTACATTGACCAGCTATGTTATGAGCCAGAATGCCATTCTAATGACCTTCCGACCTTGATGCGGGACCATGATGGTTGGCGTGCTAGACTCATCATGAATGGCTCGTCCGAATAAAAAAAAAGTTACCCACCATCAAAAAAGGGTACTTCGACGTAGTGTCATGGTTAACAAGCTTGTCTCGGTAAAATAATTACGACTGATTAGCGAGTTCGATCTTCGTTCTGTAACATCGAACCTACACTTAGAGAATCACCTTTGAGCCAATCTTGATTTTTTTTTTTTTAGTCTCCTCAAGTCCCAAAAGGTCCGAATTCCTAGCGGACCCCACCCGTGGTTAAGCTAATCTCTTTTTTTTCTTCTAGTTAACGTGAGTTATTGTCGTGCCTGGCCTCTTTTTTATGGTCTTTTTCAAGATTCCCAAGATCCACAGTTATTTTTCTCTCGCTTTTTATCTTGATTGGACCAGCCTTTTACATTTTCCTACTCCCAAATTATTTTAGTCCCCCGACCTGCGCTGCGAGCGGGTGAGCTTCTTGATTCTGTCTATCGGCAAAATACAAGAATCATTCTTATTTTTGTTGGTTGAACGGTTCGTCACTAACACAAATTTAATTTTTTGAATGTTTAGTTTATTTTTTATTTTGATTAAATGGGTTCACCCTTCCCCTTTCATGTCATTGTAAATTTTTATATATTTTTGTATGTAAAAATGTTTGTAAATATACAGGATGATTAAAATGTAACTCCCTATTTTATATATGATGGACTCTCCCATCTTGTAAAAATTATAGTCTGACGCTAGAATCCATCAGACATAAAATAGAAAGTGAGTGAATAAATAAATAAATAAATAAATAAATAAATCTCTCTCTCTCTGTATACACACTCTGATACCTGCCCCAAGGCTGTGTGCTGGTGGTATTACGGCTAGCTTAGAACAGCGGCCCGAGTGAAAACACTCGGATCCCCACGTTAAAAACTGAACTTGTGTCCCAACCTGACTCAGTAGTGGGGTCAAGTAAATCTCTACATAAAATAGGCAGTTAATTTTCAATGACCCTGTATATCCAGACTTTTTTTTTTTTTTTTTTTTTTTTAACCAACATTGGTGTATTATTAGGCCCTAAATCAAAATGCAGCATTTTGATACATGTTTGGATTGGACGGAGAGGGATGAGTTCTTGTGGTGTTCATGTCAATTGTTAGAATGAATGATCCGTGAATCGGATTAGCTAGGAGTAAAATAGTTAAATTCCTCCTTTACCCCCTTTTATATGAATAGTTCCAGGACAACGCACAAAAACATATAAACATTAGAACTAGTCTGAAGAAATACTTTTCCTCACGTTCAATTCAAAATTTGGCAAAAGTAATTACCTTCTGCAATAGCATACACAACGTCTCTAATTTGTAAATTTTCAAATGTGGGGATAATTAATTTGGTTATCAGTTCTGCTGTTTGAGGCATTATTAGACGGATTGTCAGGTCGTTTGTGGTGACCACGGCTCTTTGAGGGTAGACAGGATGAGTTGTCACCTTTATCGATGTCACCTGGAACCTGAGGAGACAAAACACAGGAGTTTATAAAATAGTTTTAGTTTAAGGACAAAAGAAAAATATAAAAAAAAACATAAAATATATTGTAGCAGCCGCTACATCCTCTTTTTTTTTTTTTTTTTACCAGAGGAGCATATGTTAAAAACAGCTACCCTTTCAGCATTATGAACACGCGTAAAAAATAAAAAAAATAAATAGATAAAAATAAGCGCGAATTTTAAAAAGAGTACTCTTTTCTTTGTTTCCAATGAAATTTCCCTGTTTCTTAATACTTTGCTTAGCTTTTGGAAGGCATCTTTCGCTATTCCAATTCGGATTTCGGTGCCATATTTTCCATTCTCGGTTAAAACGCTTCCCAGATATTTATATATTTGCACTTGTTTAATTTTGATATCCCCAATTTGTAATCCGCATGTTTTGTTGTCTCTTTTGCTGACAACCATGCATTCTGTCTACTTACAGTTGAAACTGTTACGTAATATCGGAACATATATGTGCTATATGCCACTGAATACTGGGTGATCTTATCACAGATGGAGAAGAGACGAGGTAACAAACATGTGATTCTACAGAAGGATGCTGAGAATACCATGGACTGAACACGTAAGCAACACCATAAAATATTTGCTTTTGCCCCATCTAAATTCATTTTCCTTAAAATGACGCCTATCTATCGAGATCTGATCGCACAATGCACAAAATACCGGCCTTGTGACATGTAATCCGACAAGACGACGTAATAATTTTGTGGAATATTTTCCATGAAAGAATTACTCTGATTATTAAAGCTTTTAAAAGACGACATAAATTGTGTAACTGCATGCTTGTTCTGGGTCCCCCCAGTCATTTATTTTGCTCCCATCATTAACTTGGGCTTTTGGCAGAAGGTGTTCTAGCCATGGCTTTCTATCTTACCCAATGTTCATATGAAGATGATAAAATCTATCGATCTTCCAAATGGTGAGTTCATTTCCCGAGCAACTGTGGAAGACTTCTCTTTCTGGTTGGCAACCGAAAATTTGGACATCTTCTTCAATGTCTGTCCTGTGGAGAGAACAAGAAACATTTTAAAGAATTAAATATGCTTTTAAAATTTCTCAAAGAACAAAGGAATACATTTTCCATCGTTATGCTGATTTTTAAAGGGTAGTTTAGATGTTGCACAACGCTGAAATTATGGGGTACCTAATGGGGATTGAAGTCGCTATTCAGTGTCGTAATTGATCTAACGAAACAAGCTCGCTAACCATTACACCGCGTCGAAGTGCCAAACTTCCATGTGTGGGAGAACGCGTCCATTTTTAAATCAATATGATATTGTCTAATTCTGTTCTGATTTTTGTTGGATTTTAAGATTTTTAGCACCAATTTTGAGTATTCTGAGTATTACCCGTTTGCTCATAACATCGGTACCTCACAGTGGATTCACGCAATAAAGCCAAGCCATCATTTGTGATTTTTTCGTCCACTGAATGATTTTAAGCTCAATTGCGAAACTGTATTAATGTTATTTATACTTACGAGGAAGACTGAAAGAAAACTTTCACATTTCAAATTAAAAAAATAAGGATTTTTTTGCATTTAACCCGTTTAAACATCTCTCTCTTTTTTTTCTTTTTTTTTTTTTAGAGGTTTTCAGTGACAAAAATGATTTCAGCAATCACCCCCTCTTACCCCCCCAAAAAAAATACGGAATAGAGATATAGATTTCATTTTTTTTACGAAAATGTTCACTCTGTTTAAGGCCGAGTTTGTTATATGTGCGTTGTCCTGGAACTATTCATATAAAAATGCATAAGAGGAGAAATGATCATTAACTAACCTACTCCTAGCTAAACCGATTCATTCAAGCAAATGACATGAACACCACAAGAACTCATCCCTCTCCGTCCAATCCAAACATATATACTTAAGGTAGAGGTACATTATTTACATTATTCAGACTATTGTACTCATCTTTGTCACCATGTTTATTACATAAATATGGCGACCAAGATAAGGACAATAGTCCAAATAATGTAAATAATGTACATAATACCTCATCTCAGAAATATAGACAGATACTTAAGGTAGAGTGTTACAAAATAAGGGGCATCAACTTATCGGATAGGTGAGGAAGATAACGGTTAACCCTAGACTTGACCAGGTTAATATTGTAATGATCGGGAAAATATCCTCTTGGGAGTGGCTTCCACAAAGCAGCGGTCCGTGGGAAGGTGCTGCTTGAGTGGAACTGACATCTCAGCAATGAAGCACCAAGGGAATGAGATGTGATTCGCTACAATGTGAGTGGCATCGCGTGTCTTAGCCATGAAGATTAGAACGGGTGGAACTAAGCAATGTAGTTCGTCTGAGCACTCTCCATGCGAGGCTTGCGACGTTTCGTCTGTGAGAGAGTGGGTGTAGGGTGAAAAATAACTTGTCACTCACATCGACACGGAGACGCTTTTGGACTCTTATCAAGACTAGAAAATGAAGACTCGGCAGCTTCTGACTATATATGGTAGCAGTACTCCATTGTCGGCCTGGTCAAGACAAGGGGCCTCCCTGAATGAACATCCTTTCATCGCGATACGTGAAAATTCAGGGTCCGCTACAAGGACTGGTTGGTTGGTTGTTTTAGTTTAGCGGCATATCAACACCTCTATGTGTTATTTAATACCGAAAACTAAATGTTTTATATGCAATTTTTGTCGAGAGGAAAGAAAATGGTTTTAGCGATATGTCTTATCCATAGCTGAGGGGAGAAGAGGTGGATTCATGCCTTTCCTAAGTGTATTTGTGCATAAGTGAATGTAACGAACTCAACTGGAATTGGTATTCCTAAGCGGTCACTCATCTAAGTACTGTCCAAGCTCGACGTTGCTTAACCTCGGTGATTGTATCAGCTACAAGGAAAGTTTTAACCAAAAACTGATATTTGGCAACCAGGTGCACTTCGACGTAGGTCAACGGTCAGAGGAAGCTTATACTTAATATCAGGAAGAGGCAGTTGAAATTTCTGGGACACGTATGAGGAAGGAGGGCTCGGAAAATCTGATGCCCACAGGACGGATGGGGGAAGAAAGAGGGTCAGAGGAAAGCAACGTGACATAATGGGCTTGAGTAAATGGATGTCAGAATAAAGTCTGGAAGAAATAACAAAAAGACAAAACATTAAGAGCTACAAGTGACAGGGGGATGTGGAGGGCCATGATTGCTTACGCACTAAAGAGACACGGCATTTAAAAGAAGAAGAAGTGAGTTCGATCCTCACTCGGTACTCCATACTTTTGGCTTTGTGCCACATTTAATCTGAGCTTAGTTTATCACTATTTCGACGGGGTGTAATGGTTAGGAATCGCTTGTATCGCTTGAACAGTTACGACTGACGATTGAGTTTGATCTCATACTTTCGGCTTTGTGCAACATCTAAGCAACGCTCTTTGGGAAATTACAGTAAAATGGAGAAAAAATTATCTCGGGCATTTTTTTCTTAGCTATTCGAAGATGGGTTTGGTTTGGTTTATTTTGTTTTACGACATATCAACCTCAATGGCTTATTCAATGCCGACAACATTTTTTATTGCTGGTAATATTTTGTTTTGTCAAAAATCTGTTTCTGATAATATTTTTCCTTCAAAATTGTATTGCTGGTTTTTTCAAAAAGTATTGCTGGTAATAGTTAACTATCTGCCCATAGCTGGGAAACCAACAGGGGCTACCACCCTGGGTCAGGATGGACCTGGGAACACCAGCAATTAAGAGGTGGTTCCATGCTCCTCAAAACCTCCTAATCAGAGGCCTTGCTGCTGGATGTAGTTTATCGTCTTACTCAGGACGCGGATATAGTTTAACGTCTTACCCGGGAAGCGGATGTAGTTTAACGTCTTACCCAGGACGATATTCGAAGATGGGGTGTCAGAGATGGGAAATTAATGAAGTAAAATAATGTGTTAAACTTGACAATTACTTGGAGTTCGGACGAAGACTGGATCTGAAATCTTGAGACTACTTACAGTACATGTCAAATATTCTCCACCAAAGAAATAAAAAAAAGGGCCAAATACCTGCTTGTGAACTTACACTAGGTTAGTAAAGTACAGGGTGGTTCGAAAATCTTATCACCCGTATATGATATTTTTCTTTCTGTTTCAACGTTTTGTGGGATATTATCAAGGAAAGATTTTCACATGAACGATATCAGAAATCCCATCAGTTAAAGGACGCCGTTCGGAGAGTCTTTGCAACAATCAACAAAGCACAGCTTCGTAAAATATTACACAGGCCATGGCGCCGCATCATTTTGTGCCATGAAAATGATGGTGTTCATAGAGACCTTCACAATGTATGACAGCATCAATGTAGGTGAATAAACCGAATCCAGTACACGTGCTTTGTATTACTGTATTTCTTATTCTATCATTCTCGTTACTTTTTGGTAGGGGTGACAAGACTTTCGGACCATCCTGTATATCCTTTGTCGAACTCAGACTGCTGACAATCAAGACAATGTCTTAAAGTATGTTTCTAGCAAAGTGCACTTCGTATTTTTAATGGGTACAGCTAAAATTTAGTTCAAAATTGTAAACACTTGGCTCTTTTCCAGAAGATGTTTAATTTGCAGTGTAACAGCCACGCTCAGTTCGCATTAAAAATTTCCAGGATACTTAAATTTATGTGTAATTGTTCATGCCCCATTCGAATCTGGCTTGATAAATATGATAAAATCTACCGTTTTGGAGTTATCAACAGTGAAATTTGGGATTCATTCGCGTCGCGGGCAGCCATTACGGGCGTTGTTTGCATACATCTGCTGCAGAATAGCTATCAGTGTAGGTATCATTGCGCAAACTGAGCGTGTCTACGTAAATAGTTCTCGTGCGCAGTAATTGAAACAAATTTAGGCAAGAAAGATCATTTCCGAGCTTAGCTTTCTGTGATCTTCCGCGCTTAGCTTTTCACAGCGAATATATGCAAACAAGGCGAGAAATGGCTGTCGCCAACGACGCGATTGAATCCCAAATTTCATTGTCGATAACTCCAAAACTGTAGATTTTATCAAATTTATCAATCCAGATTCAAATGGAGCATGTACAATTACACATAAATGTAAGTATTTTGGAATTTTTTAATGCGAGCTGAGCGCAGGTGTTACACTGCAAATTAACCTAGAAGACTGTCGATCCATTTTTGTCTCAGCGTTAAAAGATAGTATGCCATATATATTAGGTAACAGTTTGGCAAAGTTTAATAAAAAAAATGAAACGGTATTTTTCTCTTGAGTACTGTATACTCGCACAGCATTTTTTATTCTTTAAAAAGCTATGTTTAGAATTATAAACAATCTTCGTATTTCAAGTTTCGAATGTTTGTGTTGCATACCCAAACATACGAAACTAGGCTCTTTAATTCACCCCAAACTAAAAAGAATTTATATTTACTAAAGTTCACAGCAAAATTCAGAAATGTCCTCTAAAATTTGTTCAAAAATGCATTCATTGTTATTTTTTGCCTTATGTCTCCAAAGGAACTCATACAAATAAATAAGAGAGTATCATGCTACGATGAGGTCCCGAACATGGACTTATTCTTCATTTTGGCATTCAACCAGGTACTTTTGATTGTTTGTGTGTAAGCTGATGTTTCTGGATCAACGAAATCCATACTGTAATTTACAGTCAGATGAATATAATTGAGATTAACCTTCAAAGATGTATATCTTTTCCAACAATCCGACATAATCGCAGTCCCAAGTAAAATACTGCTTCAGATTTGTGGTTGCATTCTTGTATTAACTCCAGCAACTTGATGGTAAGCTAAACAAATTTTGATTTAAAATTTATAACTTCAAAAGAATGCCAAAAATTTAATAAAATAAACAAACTTTGATTTAAAATTTATAATTTCTTGGGATGAATTAATATTTGCAATAAGTAACTTTACATTATTTGGGGTAAATTAACAGAAAAAATCCCGACTTATGCATTTTCTTTTAGCTCGAGAATTTACAACAAAAATATTAAATACTATTTACTTATTAGATTGTTTATTTCCAAGAATAATTTCATATTTACAAATATATAAATATATGTGAATCAACCTATTAATGCAATACTTATTATTTAAATAAATAACTACGTAAACATTTTTTATCCATAAATTTATAAAAATGTGTGTGAATTATAGAACAATATAATCTGCTAAAGAACTATAATGATGGTGCCAAGAGAAATAAAAAAAACATCATTTTGACAGACGATTTTTTAGGCGGGTGGCTACGTTTGTTAAACTTTACCGAAAGTTTAACTGTAGACAAGTTAAGGTAAGTTTGTTACGCATTTCCCAACGAGATAGGACTTAATTTTAATCAGAACATCTTTTGAGAAAATTACTGCCTTCCATTTTTTCGACAAATTTTAGATATCGTAATTGATAACATGTCTGCATCTGAAGGAGGAAAATTTTCTCTTTTAAAATTCGGATTGCATTTCCCATGATTAGTAAAACTATATAGACAATCTAGTAATAGTAGTAGAAGAAGAAGAAATATTTCTTCTGGGTTTTGAGAAAGGCGTTTTTGATACCAAAATTGTACTAAAGTAAAATAATGGCCGCTATCTTGTAGAGATTTACTCAACACTGAGTCAGGTTGTGACACAAGGTCATTTTTTTTAACGTCGGAACGAGTATTCTCACTTGGGCTGCTGTTCAGAGCTTGTCCAACCTGCTCAGAGCTCGTCTAAACAAGTCATAGCCATGATACTACCTACGCCAGGGATGTATCCCTGTGCCAGGTCTAGTATATAGCGAATGTAAGCGATGCGAGCGAAGTCGCTAGTGGTCTGTCGACGTCCTGCAAGTAATTTTTGTTAAGAGCCACTCACCTTCCGACCTCCTCTTGAACATCAAGGTTCCAGACTCTGAGAGTTAAGTCCGAACTGGCCGACAGAAGATGTGCTGTAGTTCCAGGAAAATGACAGAGTTTCGTTATCTTGTTTTCATGACTTACAAACACCATCAAGACGTTCCAGTTGTGATTCCACACTTTGACTAACGAGGAAAAAAAATTATCAAATCTATAGTCATTAATACAGCATATGAACATTGATTCGTCTTCTACGGTTTATCAACCCTTTGCAGGTTATTTAAAGCCAGAAAATATTTTTAGATTGTAAGAATGTTTTGATTTTTTTTTTAGATGATAATGATTTAGTGATACAAGTATTTCTAATTAACACATAGCTGGGGAGAGAAGAAGTTGATCCATACCTAATCTGAATTTGATAAACAAACAAATTATAGTATGGATATAAAATGGGGGAACAATTCTATATTACAATATATATATATATATATATAATGTGTGTGTGTGTTCAGATATATAGGAAAGAACACGTTAGGTAAATAATCCGGAGTTCTTTAGTACTTTTGTTTTTATTTTTTTAAAATTTTCGGCTCTCGTTTTTGAAACATGAGAACTCTTATGCAGCGAAGGAATCATATTTTTTAAAAATAATTATATATATATATATATATATATATATATAGATATTGATAATATTAGTGGTAAATATACATATACAAAATATATAAATATATATACATAGGTGCATACACATACATGTATATTTTTTGAATAAAAATTCCAATGGAATAAATTATGACCATGGAATATTAGTGTTTAAGCCTTTTATATATATATATATATATATATATATATATATATATATATATATAAAAACTGATCTCTCACTTTGTGGACACTAATTTCTATATATTTATATTCCAGAGAATATAACGTATATACTCGCGTATCATGCGACCTTTGAAGACCTAATTTTGAAGCTAATTTGACTAGAGTAAATGGATATCTAATTTAGTCAACGGCATCGCCAGGGCCAACTGTGCATACGCTAATTTTATGTTTCGTGTATGATGCGACCCCACTTAAAATTAGCTTCAAAGTTAGTTTCTCAAAAGTCGCATGATACGCGAGTATATACGCTCGATAAAATCTAAAAGTCATGCCTGTGTAGGTAACCAGCATTTCATTGATTGATTGATTCGTTTTCTACGTTTTACAGCTTATTTAAAGCCAGGTAATATTTTTAGATAGTAATAATTTTTTTTAGATAATAATGTTTTAGTGATACAAGTCTTACTACTAACTAATCCATAAAAGAGAACAGGTGGATTCATGCCTTTCCCAATGGTATTTGCGCGTAAGTGAATATAACGAACCCAACGGGAATTGGAACTCGGCTCTCCGATTAACAATTCATTCTCCATTACACCACCCGCACATCAAAGCTTACAGCATCTAGTATTCTCAAGTGGTCACCTATCTAGATACTGGCCAGGTTCAATGTTGCTTATCATACTGGAACCAGTGTTTCAACATGATGTGGCCGTAAGCTGACACAAAACAAGTGAGTATGTGTACTTGAATTTAATTCGGAAGAGTTATTGACTTTCTTAATATTTTTCTTAATATATTCAGTTTTCACTGTTACAGGAGTTAACCCTTAACCGATGAGGGTTTACTGTGGCCTGGTTATCGCTCCTGTGGAGCGATGTTTCTCCTCATTTTACATGGGAGCAGTTGCACAGCCCCAGGAATTCTAAACATACGACAGCACATTCCCTATTGCAATAAGAGAGATGGGGTCGGTGTAATATCGGTGACAGCGATCGTGGGGACAGGTAAAACTACAATTTTTGTCCTTGGCCCATAAGCATACGTATGCATATGACGCTCCCTACGTTAAAAAGGGCCTTGCGTCACATCCAGCCTTGATGGGGAGGCCGGGTAAATATACCTAGCATAGTGTCCTTGGAAAAGGCATGAATCCATTTCATCCCCACTAGCTATCAGGGTAGACTAAGCTTTCTGGCTTTGTGTGCAAGCTAGTCTATGCGAAGTAAAATTTGGAATTTAAAGCCGTGGAGAAGAAAGTGGTTTGGTTTGGTTTGTTTTACAGAATATCAACCTCAATGGGTTATTTAATGCCGATAAAATTTTATTGCTGGTAATATTTTTTTCAAAAATGTATTCCTGGTAATATTTTTTTTCCAAAATATATTTCTGGAAATAATTTTTTTCTTCAAAAATTTATTGCTGGTAATACTTTTTTTTTTACAACTGTTCTGGTATTAAAACGTATTTTTACACTTTGTTAGTGTTTTGACCCCAGGTTAGGGGGTTAACTATTTGCCCATAGTAGGGATCCTAACAGGTGCTACCACTCCCGGTCAGGGTGGACCTGGGAACACCATCAATTAAGAGGTGGTTCCACGTTCCTTAAAACCTCCCGATCAGAGGCCTTGCTGTTGGACGTAGTTTATCGGCCTACCCAGGACGCGGGTGTAGTTTATAGTCATACCTACCCAGGACAGGAAGACATTGGGAGGCAACTTAATATATCTATCCCTTTGCCGGGAGTGAAAAAATTAAAAACAAAAATACACACAAGAGAACAAGTGAGTATGTGTAATTGTGTCCGCAATCAAAACTTTTTTTTATTATACTTACTGCACCCATCGAGAGAGCCGGTGACGAGAATTTTGAAAGGATTAAAATAGGTCATGGCAGATATTTTTCGCTGGTGCAGATCCTTTTTATGGAGTAAGAACTGAGTGGAACGCACCTGAAAAACCTGCAAAGATAAACGAGCAAAAAAAAAAATAAAAAGATACACTTTTTGATATATGTATTATGAATAATCAAGAGTGGTCTCCCCTTGCTTTGTTATTCTCCTATTTGAGAAAATTATTTCTGTTTACTGGGACTATAAGAGGACACTATACATGAACCTTTTATTCTCAGTTGAATAAAGCTTTCTTAAAACCTACCCCTGCGTACTTTTGTTATTACTAAAACCCAAGGGGTTACAGGGTGTAGAAGAATTAAGAAAACATTAGTAATGAGCAGAAAGAGGAAAGACTAACCAGGAGGACAGCAAATAGCGATTGACATTGCATTTACATTTTTTTCAACTGTAAATTCATGAGATCTCGATGACAATCTAGTACTGCGCTGAAATTCATAAAATGTAGGTACCATAGCGAAGACCACACCCGAACATTTACCATGAAAGTATTTATAAAAAAAGGCACAGAGAGACAACCTTACAGCGGAGGGAAAGTGACTGAAGTCGAGCCACCAGATCAGGACCAGTAATATTGCTGATTCTTCTTTGGGTTTTATCAAGGAGCTCCAGGTAAATAGCAGCGGCACCGGACCATGTGGCAGCAATATTCTAATCATCGCAGACTTATAGATATGTAAGATAGATTCCGGAGAGAAAAATTGCCTCGCATGACAGAGTGAATCAACTTTCTTAGCAGCTGGCCTAGCAATGGATTCAATATCGTTTTTCCAATTCATGTCAGCTGAGAACTTTAGCCCACTAAGGCGCAACTAGCCACTCTCCTGGCGGATAGTATCAGATGGAAGATAGAGAGGGGTCTCTCGGATGATTAATAAAGAGAAGTTTAGTGTTGGAGGCGTTAAAATTGACAAGCCATCTTTTGCCCCAGTTAACGACGGACTTTAGGTTGTTTTGGACATCAGCTACCATTTTGACCTTGTCGGACTAATCAGCCTTACTATCGAGGCAGGAGTAAATGGTTTTGTCTTCTGCGTAGATGCCAAGTTAAGAGCTGATGTCATCGGGAAGATTGCTAATGAAAATTAAAAACAGGATAGGACTAAGGATAGAGCCTTGGGGACACACACACGTTAGTATGAAAGGATTTAGACGAGTGGTCGTTCAGGATAACTTTTATTTCACAATCTGATAGGAAAGATTGGATCAGATCAAAAATGTGTCTGGAGACGTCTCAGCTTGTGGAGAAGACTTGTATGCCAGACCTTGTCAAAGTCTTTCAAGATGTCCAATGCACAAACTCAGGCTTCGCTATCTTCTGTTATCTAGAGCATGGTAGACTCTTTCCGCGATTGTCGTCAGTACATGAACAGTTGACCTGGAGATACGAAAGCTGCATTGCTTTTCTGAGAAAAGGCCCTGCGATTAGAGATGATGAATCAATTCAACATTGATTAGGGCCACGAGGCATTTCCAAAAAGAGGTAGAAGTCTAACAGGATGAGATCTGAAAGGGTCAGACAATTTGCTAGAGTTCTTAAAAACTAGAACAACAGGCGATGACTTCCAGCAGGCAGGAAAGCAAGAGGCAGCAAGTCATTCATTACACAGTTTAGAGAGAACAGGAGCCACTTCATGAGCACACTTCCTATTACAGGGAGACCATCTGGTCTACATGCTTTGTAAAAAATTCAAATACTAAACTTATGATGATTATTATTCCTTGATTTAGTCAAACTAGAGACCTCATTTTGGTTGCTACAGACATAAAGAAAATTGACCACTCAGCAGAAACATTTTAACTATAACAACCAAGCGTTTAAATTACTCTCGAGTAGTTTGTAACACCCTATTTATCATCTCTCAGTCTTTAGGCAGAGTGCACTCAGGCGCGACTCCGTCTAAGAACTGAGGAAAATTATACTGGGAGGTACTGGCTCTGGGGAACAGCTGCCCGAAGCCGTTCCCTCTCATTGCGATAGAAAGAGGGATCGGTGCACGCACTGAGGCCAGCGCAACTGACGGTTGCGGGCTCTCGGGAATTTTTTGTTCCTAGCCCGGGTGTACGCGCTCTGGCTCCCCACATTAAACCGACCTTGTGTCAAAACCTGACCTCGTGGGGAGGGGATAAATACAAAAAAAAAACAACAACCAAGATAAGGACACAAGTCTGATTAAATCAGTATGTAATAATGATAATTCCTCATCTCCAAAACTTCAGTCTCAAAAGAATTCTTACGTAAACATCAGCGTCTCTGGACAAAAAACATTTCTGCAATTTACTGGCGCTGTTTTGAATTACAATTCCTGATATTGTGTCAGTTGGATTATTGGTCACTTTTACTTTGTGCTTTAGGACCAAACTCTTAGAACCATTCTGAAATATCCAAACCTGGAAAAAAAACGACAGAATTTACTACATAGAAAAAGTTAACGTGGGTAAATAGAGAAAAGAGTAACATAGAAGTGGATCAATGAAATATCCATAACGTACAGAATATATTTACTTCATGCATATCACCGATTATTGTAATATTAGCATAATATGGTATACGAGCTAATAGAGAAAGACAAAACAGATCTACATGGAGTGGGGTAAATTTAAAATCCAACAAACACCAACGACTCTAATACATATTTAACAAACAAGAAAGCCAACCAATGTTCCTCATAATATCAGGGATAAACGTCATAACCCACAAATTAACAAAAGCCATATCAAAAAAGCTCTAATATATATATATATATATATATATATATATATATATATATATCTCCAAGTATAGAATTGGTGTATACGGAATAAATTCCAATAACCAATAAATACTATTCTTAAAAGAGTGCACGATACAGAATAGATAGAAATATAATATATATATATATATATATATATATATATATATATATATATATTATATATTATTTGATTGGTCATTGCAGCTTATGTAACAGCGTTTCCCCTATCGAGGAATGTTTGGTTGATTTGAGCCTTTTAAGACCCTTTATTCTACATTCAACACCATCACTTGATAAGACAACACAAGTGTTGAAACAAAATGGCTATTTTTGTAGTGATTTTATAACATATTTATGTTATAATGTTCGAATAAATTATATATATATATATATATGATTGAATAAATTGCAAACCTTATGCCTGCTTATTTTTATCATAATCCTTTCATATTTATGAATATTTTTCCGTTTATTACAATTGAATAAGGCAAGAAATGATGTACTGTAACAGTGAGAATCACTTTTATTTCCTAAGTACTTTCTATCTCTTTCTGAGATCATCATCTAGGGTGCAACTGGTAGGGTAAAAACTATGGGTAGCTATCCATTACTCAATTTTTTCTTTTGCTACACATAGTTTTTGCCTTACCTGTTGCACCTCTACCTAAACACTGAAATTTTATTTACTATTGGATGACTTTTTCTTTTCCCAATAGGAGTAAGCAGTTTCATCTATCGTCTGGTTCGCACTTCTCCCCACTCTTTTTCCCTTTTTGTTTAGGCTTGGGTTTCAGGTTCCTTCTAAAGCCATTTCCTTATGTAGCCCTCTACCCCGAGGGGCTCTTGTGCCTTGTACAGGGTGAAAATCTCAGCACTTAGTTCTTAGAAGGCATCTTTCGTTCACAAACATTGAATATATATATATATATATATATATATATATATATATATATAAATATATACCGTATTTTCCAGCTTACAAGACGCTGCGACTTGGTAGATGTACTGTAATACTGGAAAGAAATTTCAAAGGAAAAAAGTTATTCTCATACAGCAACACACTCACCATGCGTCCCTCAGATACTGGCAGCACGTATTGTTTACATTAATCACTCGTCTGATTTTGTTTGTATGGCAATGACATACTAGTCAAGAGCAGAAAGGCTCCTACCAATGCTAATAAACAGAACATGTTTAAGTTTGTGGCTCGGCTCTAGGAAAGTTTATAGTCTTGGAAATATTTGTAACATCTAAGTACTGAGGTTACATCATATAAATAGCTGAATTAGATAGCTAACATTATCGTGTAATGACTCAAAATATAAACCCTCGTCCCTAACAGTCAAATCGTTTAGGTGACCGTCCAAGCTTACTTGAGCCTGGGTGTTGCCTTACATTCGTCTTGGAAGACGCACACGTATTTTTCACGGTATTTTTTAGGAAAAAAAGCGCGTCTTGTAAGCCGGAAAATACGATATATATAATAAATTAAACAATATCAAATTATTATATTTTGATAATATTTTTATATTAATATTTTTATAATATTAAATTATATATATATAAAACAAATATATATATATATATATATATATATGTATGTATGTATATTATAGAAAGAAAAAAAAAAAAGAACAGTAAGATATATAATCCGGAGTTCTTATTGATATTTTTATTTTTACAAAACAGTGCTTAACGTAAATTTACAGATCATAAATATTATAAATTAACTGATTTAAAAATATGGTTTCATCACTACACAGGAATTACCATGTTTCAAAAACAGAAACTAAAAACTTCAAATTCAATTATATAATTAAATTAAAAGCATTAGTTCTGTTTCATCTTCAAGCGAATTTTGGAATAAATTATTTTGAAATTTACTGAGTTTTAAAAGCACATACAATCATAATTTTTGTTTCCAAGGATACAGAGAAATCCAATCATTTAGACAAGGGTGGTAGCGTGTTCTTTTTTATTAGCTATTATTGTATCAATTATGAGTTACATTCGAAAAGAGGTTAAGTCTAGGTAGCGTAGGAGTGCCTTTTTCAACGAATTATGACATCCGTTCAACGCATGTCGTCTGTTTTTTTTTTATCTACGGCAAAAGTTTTTCGGCATTTTATTCGTTAAATTCATACTAGTATACATACAGATTCTTTTTAAAAGGGGTGTTTGGATTAGAATACGTTGTATTGAACTACAATTTTAAAATATTATTTTATTATTTATACTTTTAATTACTAGTAGATTATATTTCTTTTTAAAACAAATAAATGTAATAGAATTACTTAAATTTGTTAAAATTATTATTACATTTCAAATGTAAGTATGAAAATTAACAGCTACACTTTTTTTTAAAAAAAATAATATTTAAGGAAAATTTTTGACAATGTCGGCAAAGAATAACTATTTCATGTCTATGATTCAGTAAATTTTTATTTTTTATAAACCTAATAATATATAGTTTCTCATGTATGCACAAAGGACATGTATCATTTAATGACCTACATATTCTGGCATTTCTTATTAATTTCCATTTTATCGTAGGTGTTTTATTGATTTCTTTTAAGCGCCAGAAATATTTCAATAGGGACGTCTGATTTCAGTATTTATTTATCCTAAATGAACTTTGATGTTGATTGAATCTTTTCTTGAACCCATGGCTTGTGCAACCTATATAGACTTTTATGTTGTCGGGATCTTCAATAGATGAGATATTGCATTGGTATACTAGTGATTCCGTACGACAATTATTTTGTAGGGGACAGTTATGAGTATTTCTGCAGTTACATCATTTTTGTTTATCTTCATCTTTTATTTTATTTCTGTACTGTCTAAATTTCTTTGGTTTTGGTCTAAGTGTTTATTCAAGATATTAGCAATATGTTTCTTAATAATTTTCTCTAAGTTTTCAGTACAGCTATAACTTAATTTTAGTGTATTTTTATTAAAAATAGTACTGAGTTTACTATCTTTAGGAAAATGTTTACCGATTAATGCAAGGAATTTTTATCCTAATTTATTCTTTAACATTTGGTTGTACGGGAGTGTGTACCAAATTATTTTACTACTTCTGTTTTTCCTATGCTTTCCATTTTCATTTTAAATGTAAGTTAGTTTGGGCTTTTGTAGCCACTATCTTTAAGAGCTTTATTATAGAAATTAATATGTTCATTGAAAATCTTCTCATTTGCTGAATTTGTACTTATTCTTTTTTCAATAGATAAAGGTATATGCTTAATTATAGATGGTGGATGATTAGATTTAGGGTGTATATATAAAGGATTAGTTTTGTTTTTTTGTTTTTTTTGTATTGGGTTTTTTATAGTATTGAGTTTTTACAAAGCTCTTGGGATGGATCTTTTATTCTTTCCATGTGAGCCACCAACACGGTGACATCCGCGCATCCTATATTGTTAAGATTACACCCATCGACAATAAATCCTGGTATCGTCTCCATTTCTCTTATGATGGCGTCGCCCTAGAGCTTGAATAAATCTGGAGAGAAGACATACTTGTCTTACGGCCCTTTCTATATTTGGGTAGCTACTCAATTGATAGAGACAGAAAAGTATCCTTACGCATAGATAATTCCTGCACACAGAGACCAGTTCATTGATACAAGGATTGAATGCAACATGTTGGATTTTATCTGGACAATTTACTGTATGGAGAATTTCAAATCGCATTGTCAGCAACTGTGGAAAATATATATAAAAAAAATAGATGATAATTTATGATAAACAAAATTAAGTAAAATAGAAATTTCAGCATCAGAACAGTTGTTTGCTATATCATTTATTGGAGTTCTTGCATGTAGTAATGGATAGCGGCTCGGATTGAGGAATCGGAGAGTCGAGTTCGAATTCCAGTTGAATTCATTACATTCACTTACGTGCTAATACTCTTGGGAAAGGTATGAATCCTCTTCTTCAACCTCCTCCAGCTATGGGTAAATAGCAGGACAGACCGGGTTCTATAGCCTTACATGGCAACTGGTCTGCCGCAGAAAGAAATGGCAACCTCCTGCGGGAAAAAATCTGCCTCGTCAGTCATGTATCGAAAGATACATGATCGCCTAAGTGCGTATCACACATAGCACATAACTGACTGAAATTCACTTACATGCTAATACTCTTGGGAAAGGTATGAATCCTATTATATATATATATATATATATATATATATATATAAATATAAAAATAAAAATATAGCTTAGAGCATATGTAAATATAAAAGTGGTTAACACTGAGTGGCGACAGTCTGTTTCATGTTTAAACACAATCTTCAGGTCTGAGGATTGTGTTTATGCATGAAACAGATTGTTGCCATTTGGTGTTGACCTCAGTATACACTTATATATCTATATATATATATGCTGACGATTGCGTTCAGCATGAAACAGCCTGTCGCCTCCGAGTGTTGACTTCAATGTTCACTTTTATATTTACATAAGCTGCAACTCTGATATTGAGCACCTTATCCCCTAAATATAGCACACCTTAAAACTATCTTTCTTCATATATATATATATATATATATATATATATATATATATACTTTTATTATACTAGCACTCATTGTGCAATATTTTATACTTTAATTTAAATTAATGTTTAATTTTCTATTTTATTCTTCCAAAATATCAAAAAATCTTATTCTATAATTTGAGAAAACTTATTTTGATATATATATATATATATATTGAGATATATATATATATATTGAGATATATATATATATATATTAGAAAATATGTTTCAATATATATATATATATATATATATATATATAATGTAACACATATATAACCAGAAATATATAAATAAATCAAACCACCACCATAAATTCTAGATAATTTGTATATGTCAGTTCGAGTTAGATTATCTACCAACTCCAGCAATAAAGAAATATTTGATAATAATAAAATATATAAAGGTTTAAGTTACTTTAGTGTATTTAGAAAAACAAAGAAGGTAAAAATAAAAATAAACACCAGAGGCATAACGTCATGTAGATTAATGCACCTTTTAATCATAATGTTAAAACTAATATCTGAAGAATTTTCATAAATTTAATCAATAAACACTTTAACCATTAACCAAGACTAAAAAAAGATTTTCAACAAAAATAATGTTAAGATCACCTACAGTTGCATTAATAACATTGATCATTCTATATCCCAACATAACAACATTATATTAAGAAAATATATTTCCAACAAAGCCAACATAAATGCAACTACCGAAAAAATGGCCTGTCCCTTAAACGCTCAATGACTGATAATATTGTTTGCTGAGCTAGCATACATTCCGATAATGATGTTAAATTTTCTTTTGTTTCCACTGAAAATCCTTGGAAATTTTGTTTCTACCATCATCAAATGACTTTAGGTAATATAAAATACAAAAACAGCACTGCTCTCTCCAAATATTTCTGGCAATTAAAGAATAATAGCAAATCATTTGTCATCGAATAGAATATTAAAGTTTGAGCCAAATCTTATAACGGGGAAGGAAATAAATGTAACTTATGTCTTGTTGAAAAATCAATTATCTTAAAACACTTAAATAACCCTAGCTTATTAAACAAAAGAAATGAATAGGTGGTTACATGTAGGCATAAAATAAATATCTACTTAAATTGTTGATCCACATTCATTTTTAATATAAATTACATTTCATTTTTAATATAAATTACGGTTTATTTTTAATATAAATTGTTTTTTTTTATATAAAATAGAACAAGTAATCCCCCTTTAATTTAAAAATAAAAAATTAATATCCACAACACTAAAAGATATTTTTTAAATTTTTTTCTCACATATACAAAAATCCCTATCCAACCGCGGTAGTTGGAGTCCAAAACTTCTATCTGCGGTTTGGATGGTCTGCGGTTTAGATCAAAAGTGAGCCATGATATCACGATTGTCAGCTGGTCTAAGCTGACCAAAACAAAACTTATCAGTTCGATAGAGTTATCTGCAAAAATGAGTAATACAGTGGCTAAGCATGTAAAATGCGTATTCAATACTAAGAGTTGAATATTGGCAGTTGTGAAAAACATTTATTAAAACTATCCTTTAATTTTTACATAAAAATTTGTACCAATGTGAATAAATTTGAAAGACGACGACTGAAAAAGGTCCGTAAAGTGCTAATCCAAACCACTACACAATCATGAGTGTGAAATGCGAAATCATAAAAAATAGTAAATGCCTAGGGAAATACGGATAAATTGAAGGTATTAAAACTCAATTTAATGAATTTATTAAAATAAAAGATTATACAGAAAAAAAAATCAGACTTTAAAAAGTGTGAATTTGTTTCAAATTGGGATCTACTGATGATTATGGTTCTAATATGAACATGACAAAAAATTTTGGGGTCCAACGTGGTTTATTGGCATCGCGGTTTAATGGCACTGACTTTTATATATATATATATATTATATGAATTTTGTACCCCTATCTTCCTGTGTCATAAATCGATGATCTTTTGTTCAAAAGTAAAGAAGAAGATATTAATTTGTTTTATTTCTTGATAAGGGTCACCCCCACCCACCAAAAACAAAAATTCGATTTTTCTCATATACGCAATACGAGTAAAAAAATCAAAATATTTCAGAAGCTTTACTTTTTAATTTGCTAATAATGTAATTGGAAAATACTTATGTATTTTTAATACATTTAACAGTTTATAACAATAGCATAACATACAACCTGACAAATAAGCAAAAACAAGTTCTAGAAGGTTCCAGAAAGTTCTAGAAGGCCTGCAGAAAGCCATAGTACTACTATACTTTATGATTTTAGAAATTTTGTGTTGGGGGTGACATTTTTTTTTTAAATAAGCTAGATTAATCTCTTCTTCATTGTTTTTTTTAACAAAAGTTCATCGAATTATGATACTGGTAATCTATTATTTTGCAAAAAGTAAAAAAGTCATAACTCTAATATCTATCTATCTATCTATCTATCTATCTATATAAATATAGGTAACTTTCCCTGACGATCCGCTTAGGGGAAACTTGGGTAGGTTTGTCTGGCTCACTAGGTTTATCTATCTATCTATCTATCTATCTATCTATCTATCTATCTATCTATCTATCTATCTATTACATTCACTTACGTGCTAATACCCTTGGGAAAGGTATGGATCATCTTCTTCTTCCTCCAGCTATGGGTAAATAGCAGGACAGACTGGTTCTATAGCCTTGGATGGCAACTAGTCTAGGAGAAGGACAACTCTGAATTCAAAACCTGTATTCGGCCCTTCAAAAAGTGTGGTTGGTTCTGCACAAAGCCTTCACCACTATAATCAAAATCATATGTGCTGGTTTCTGTTCCTAGGAACTCAGCTGCTTGACCCTCATACGTCAAATACGACGGGAAAGTCCACCACACACACACACGCATATCTTCTCATACTTATTACTTCTCGTTTTCACTCTTGCGTGGTCATGTGTGACGTCATGAGCTGTGGTGCGATTTTCACTTCCAGCGTCTCGTATACACGAGTTTGTCGTTACTTGGAAATCTTCCATGTAAACAGAAACAGTCTATCATTATTGTTTTGTCCGTGTATTGGTTAATATATTGTAATTGTCATCTTTGTTAATGGCTTATGTAAGATGAAAGCTTAGATAAGATTAAAAAATATGTATCAATATTGTGATTTTCTTTCTTCTTTTAATGATAATGTTACTAAGCTTATCAGACGATATGAAAAGAATTTACATAAAATAAATAGACAAAACTTGTCTATATTATTTAATGAAACATGCATCAATGAAAAAATGCTGCCTAAATACACACAATATTAGCCCCAGAAATATTAACCAGACAGTGATCAGTTTTCAGTACCTGAACATTGCATTAGGCATGAATCTCCGAGTCATGCTGTTGGTGTAGGGTATTTATATGTGTGTGTGTTTATTTGAATATCCTGTTTCATTTTTTATTGTATTTTTCCAATTTTCGAATAAGTAGGGTTAAAACTGTGGATAAGTTCAAAGTTCATCAAGTGTGTGTAAAATATTTATTATGTGAATAAAATAATCCCAATAATAATACTATCAACATAGATTGACAAACACTGGAAAATTGTCCAGTCATTATCATCAAAGACACAAAAAGAAAACATTTGCGCATTGATTGAGATGAGCGTAACAAATGGCAAAAAATGTCTGCAAAGGATTTTAAAATACTAAGCAAAATAGAAAGATATTGAGATGGAAATAGAAAAAATGGAGAACTTAAAAACTAAAATTTTTCCTGTTGTGGTTGGAGCTTTCGATCTGATAAAGAAAGGAACTCAACAACACATCAACAAAAGTAATGGGCCTTACTTCGCACAAATTATTTATATTGCTGATATAGAGGATCAAGGAGGAATGTCTCTTTGTGGGCAAGGAGGAAAGAGGAGAGTCAGTAGGGCCTGGAGTTGATGCTTATTTTTGAGTCGGTTGACTGAGGTCATTAGTGGTGATGTTGAAAGCTTGCCCACTCGTCTGTAACTCTGCCATTGTCATGTGTTCTGGAAAGGATCATGACATTTGACATCTAGCCAATAGGTAGAATGAATCAGAAACAGATCTAGTTTGGAGCAGAGTATAACAATAATGTCTTTAAACAAAGAACTTCCTTACATTTAACTGATATTCGTCTTCATTCCAACCAATATATCTTTTCAGTTCCATGTTATGAAGAATTTTGGTAAAACGAAATGCATGTCCGTTTTTCTTTCGACCGTCTTCACTCAGGAACTGTGCCTTATTTCCACTGATTATAATGTATTCCTTAAAGAAAAGAAAAAGAGATAAAAATTTTGAATTGTTTGTAATAATGTAATTAATATCTAAAATAATATGAATATTAATTACATTATTAAAAAAATTGAAAAAAAATGTACAAAATTGAAAAAATTCTAAAAAATTTTAAAAATCGTAAAAAAAAAGAGAATTATATTATTAAAATTTTTTTTTTTAAATTACTCACTTTTATTTATTAGACATTACCATCTTCCATAATTTTCCTAGACAGTTCAGTTCACCTCATTTATATTTATGAGTATTCTTAAATTTAAAAATTTTGAAAAATTCACAACATTTTTACTTTTGTTTATAAATACTTGTAAAATAAAATCCTTACATTTGCTTTAATAAAGTCCATCAGAGGATCAAATGCATTGGCTAAGATAAGTTTTATTTTTGACTGTTCATATATATTTAAACCTTTTGTAAATTTTATTGTATGAATTTTTAAATTTAAGAGATGCTCATAAATATTCATCAGATTAACTGGAAAGGTGTAGATAAATTATGGAGAAATCTAAGTAACTTTTTCAGTGAAATTTTATATGACTATATAATCTCATTTTGGTTTAAATGCAAATTAATGCTATTGCATATTAGGTTGAAAGACCAATTCATATTTTGAAACCAGTAGAAAAAAGATCACCCAAATAATTTGAAGAATTTCAGGAACTCATTTCTAGTTTTTCTTACCTGTCTGCTTGGCAAGAATTGTACATCTGTGATATTCTCAGAATATTTGATTTTGCGATTCAATCGAAGACCCTGGACAAGCAGCTTCCTGTCTTGCTCATTGGCGATCATCGCACTGGTGACTAAATTAAGGGAGCCTTTTATTTTCTTCCATCTTTCTTGGGCTTTTTTCCTTCCATTTCTCTCAGGAGAGGAAAACGTTTCCATTATAGGTGCTTGAAATCCCAAAAGGGTATCTTGTAATTCTTTTTAAAATTTGTTTTTGTTTCTATTCTGGCACTTTATTTTTTCTTGTATTGATTGCTACTTTTTCTGCAAGATCGGTCTTGTTGCTAAAATAAAAAGCAGGCTGGTAAGTATTGTATAACAAATGTTATGATACTGATATTATAATAAGAATATGATTATTAATTTTATTATCAAAATATCTCTGAAAGACAAACATAGAAAGATTTTGAGGATTATGCCTTGAAATAATAACAAGGGATAATAATATTAATTATTTATTATTATTATCATTTTATTTCCTTTGGTTACTGGTGCATACTCATTTCTTTCTGGGTCCTAACCAGAGACCTAAGGTCAGAAATGGCATCATGACATTTTTCACTGAGCAGTTTTGAAAAAAAAAATCAGATATTTTACATAAATAAAGTCCTTTGTAAGGTGTGGGTGGTACTTGTGAGAACAATTTTTTGTATTTCTTTTAAGGCATGGACTACCAGGGATTCCTTGAATGTGTTTATTGGAATCTTTTCCAATCAATCCGAATTCTACAACTAGAATTGTTGATGTTCTCATGTGCCATATTTTTGAGATTTTGATTTCAAGGTCCTTGTATTTTGATAGTTTTTTGAAAATCTTCAAAGATACATTACAGTCTTCAGGGATTGCCATGTCAATAAGAAGGCTCATTTTGTCTTTGCGATCTCTAATCATGATGCCAGGGTGATTAGCTTTGATTGTTCTAATCATGATGTTAGGGCGATTAGAATTGCTTGTTCTCTATTATTATTATTATTATTATTATTTTCTTTGATTTCTGGTGTTTACACATTTCTTTCCGTGTCCTGTCCAAGGACCTAAGGTCAGAAATGGCATCATGACATTTTTCACTGAGCAGTTTTGAAAAAAAAAATCAGATATTTTACATAAATAAAGTCCTTTGTAAGGTGTGGGTGGTACTTGTGAGAACAATTTTTTGTATTTCTTTTAAGGCATGGACTACCAGGATTCCTTGAATGTGTTTATTGAATCTTTTTCCAATCAATCCGAATTCTACAACTAGAATTGTTGATGTTCTCATGTGCCATATTTTTGAGATTTTGATTTCAAGGTCCTTGTATTTTGATAGTTTTTTGAAAATCTTCAAAGATACATTACAGTCTTCAGGGATTGCCATGTCAATAAGAAGGCTCATTTTGTCTTTGCGATCTCTAATCATGATGCCAGGGTGATTAGCTTTCATTGTTCTAATCATGATGTTAGGGCGATTAGAATTGCTTGTTCTCTATTATTATTATTATTATTATTATTTTCTTTGATTTCTGGTGTTTACACATTTCTTTCCGTGTCCTGTCCAAGGACCTAAGGTTAGAAATGGCATCATGACACTTTCCACTGACAAAAAAAAAAAAAATTATTGTTATAAGTATTATTATTCATATTATCATTTTTTATATCCTTATTATTGTTATATTATTATGATTATTATACTGTTGGTGACGTAAGTCCATAAATAACAATAATGTGAATATTATCTGAAATTTTAATGTTAGCAATATTCATTTGACAATTTTTTTATTAGCAACTGTAATCAAATTTGTCTAAATTGTTAACAACTTCATCACTGACTACAATAAAAAAAGGAAAAAACCAAAGCATAAAATGTAACAAAAAGACTTACTAAGTGCATTAGTTCACACTGTATTCTACTAATTTAGTGAACTTGAAATGTATTTTTTTCTTATTTATTAGAACCAAGCATTAAAAAATACTTTAACACACTTCAGTACTAATTCTTGCATGAAAATTGAGCCAACAGAATTCTGGACAAAGTCCTAAGTTGCTTTAAAAAATGTATATTCCACAATTTATGTGTTTTATTTCCTGCCAACATGTGTGTGATATGCCTCTTCAGTGTCACTAATTTATGAACAGGTGTTGTTGGAAGAGGTTAAGGAAATGGTAGTAAAAAATGATTTTACAAGAGACTGCTGAAAAGTTCTAAGCCGGATCCAATTCCAAAAATTTGCCCACATAGCCAAACATCAGAAGTTGGTCAGACTGAGGACTTTTCAGCAAAATTTTGTATTGGTTGAATAGTAAAAAATGTAGACATTAAGTTTGAAGCTGGAACACCCCCCCAAAAAAAACAATGAGACCAAAGAATATAGTATAAAGACAACAACAATAAAGATACTTGTGTAAAAAGTATGCAAAAAATGATAATGTTTATAATAAAACTAATAATAGACATAAAATTAATCATAAAATAAAAAGAAAGAAAAAAAAACATGGTGTCCTCAAAATTTTGAAAAAAAATGTCATCATGCATTTGTGAATTAAGAAATGCACGGAGGTGATTTTTCTTCTTATACATCTCTGTAGATGTTTACATTGTTCGGGCTGTTCTCCTTATATTTATTGTCATATTCATGAGATTTGGGTTGTTCTATGTTCTGGCCTTCTTCAGGTGTTATATGTTGAAATTTTTAATGTATATCACCTGAAGAGGGCCAGAGTGTACAATGGTCGAAACGCCATGAATATGACAATAAAGATGAGAAGAACAGTCCAAACAATGTAAATAGTGTAAATAGTTACATTACCTCATTTCAAAATATAGACAGAACTCTGTAGATATCTGTGCATTTCCCTACTATCTATCTCTTTTTATTTTATATATATATATATTATTTATTTTAGGATGCTACACCAAAAACATGTCAAAATCACTACACAATTGCAGTCATGTTTTGATGTGTATCAATGTATCTCATCAGAAGATTGTAGATTACTGGCAAGTGAACAATTACAAAGCAAAATACAACTTACTTTTAATGAAAAAAAAATGGTGGGCTTTACTCTGATCAACCAATTGAATATGACCTATGTTAAATTTATACTAAGTAAAGAAGCAAAAATCAAAAAATTATTATTTGTTCTCATCTTACCTGGAGATATATATATATATATATATATATATATATATATATATATATATATGATGTAAATCTATTTAAACTTGGTTGGTGGCCAGTTCACCCTGATGATTCTATGTGTTAAAACCTAGGTAAGTAGTACCTGGCTCATTAAGATTTATATATAGATATATATATATATTTATATATATATATATATATATATATTTTTTCATGTGTCTACATTTATTTACCTATATTTATCTATATTTATTTATCTTTTAGAAATAAAATATTCTATTTTATTTTTATTAAATAAAATAAAAATAAAATAGAATATTTTATTTCTAAAAAAGATAAATAAATATAGATAAATATATTTATCTATCTATATGCAAATAAAATATTCTGTTTTCTATTTTATTTATCTATATTTATGCATATTTATTTATCTGTACATAAATAAAATGTTCTATTTTATTTTTCATTTATTCATCTGTTTGTAAATAAAAAAAATTCTATTTTATTTTTATTTTTTGTTTTATTTATCTATATCTATCTATAGTGGGTGCACAGTGGAATAATGGATAGTTCCTTAGATTGAGGAATCTGAGAGCCGAGTTCGAATTCCACTTGAATCCATTACATTCACTTACGTGCTAATACCATTTAGAAAGTTAGGAATCCTCTTCTTCCTGCCAGCTATAGGTAAATACCTAAGTGGGGGAGCCTTGGATGGCAACTGGTCTACCGCAGAAAGAAATGGCAACCAACTGTGGGTAAAAATCTGCCTCATCAGTCATGTATCAAAAGATACATGATCGTCTAAATGTGTATCATGTATGGCACATAACTAAACTGAATACAGAATATGAATTGTTGTTATGATGATAACATAACTGAACCTATATTTATTTTTCTGTATGTAATGTCAATCTATATTTATTTTTCTGTATGTAATGTCAATCGACACCTCCAGTTACCTTGATCTACCCACTATCCCTCTCCTCATCCTTTCTTCTATCACTCCTATCTGCTCATGCTCCAAATCTTCTGCAACCCCCTGCATCCTAGTGGCTTCATGCCTTGCTCGGGATATAATGCTTAAAAAAAAAAATGTAAATAAAATATTCTATTTTATTTACCTATTCTATTCTTTAATTATATTTTTCTATTTTATTTTCTTTATCTAGTTTAAGACATTTTTTTATGCTTATACATTCTTTTTATAGATACATATATTTAAGTAAATGCTCTGTTTTATAATAAACAGTATTAATAGATGGCAATTGGTCTACTGCAGAAAGAAATGGCAACCTACAGTGGGAAAAAATCTGCCTCATCAGTCATATATCAAAAGATATAAACAGAGCATTTACTTAAATATTTAAAAAGAATGCATAAACATAAAAAATGTCTTGAAATAATTGCCGGACTTTGTCCATTTCATAATGTGTGACATCATTTATCTATTTGTATATAAATAAAAGAGAATATTTTATTTTCTATTCTTTCTTTCTATTTTAATTTATGCATATTTTATTTATTTATGTATAAATAAAATATTCTATTTTATTTATCTATTTTCTATTTATCTGTTTGCCTCTAGATATTTCAGTATTGCTATCCATCTTTGCATCTTAATATTTATCGACCCATTTCTTTTTTAAACATGTGTAAAATGCCAAACATCAGAAGAGATCCCAAAGTAAATTTTGAAATTCTTTTAATTGGTCAGATTTTGGTAACTGTGTCGCTTCAATGGCTTTTCAACATCAACACATATTGCACACACTCAAACACACTATTTGTATATTTCCTTTCATGTATATTTTTATATTTATTATATGAAGGAGGCATGATGGACTAATGGATAGCATCTCAGATTTAGAAATTGAGGATTTAAGTTCAAATTCCAATCATCACATTTCTTTAAAAGCTATGGGTTGAATAGCAGGACATAGAGGGTCCAAGTCCTGTATGGGTAACTGGTCTAGCAGAAGGTCAACTCTGAATTCTAAACCTGAGCAGGGTTTTTTAGGGTACAAATTGAGGGTGACCTAC